CGTGATGCATTGGACTCTTATTCCCCTCGTGTCACCACATTTTGCCTTGAAGGCCGCTGCTGCAGGGCGCATCCTTCAGGCCTAATCACTCTCTCACCCCCCCTGACCTCTCCGCCTAATGCATCCTTCTCCATCGCCGCGTAGCCTCACCATTCATCCGCACCGGCGTCTTGGGCACCGTAGTGGTCATGCGTACTGTGCGTGTTTTTCCCCTTTGTCCCGGTTTGGTAGCCGGGTTCGACAGATTGGCGCCGAAGAGAAAGTTCCCTGAGTTTTTGTAAGGGATTACAACAACAGGCTGGGATTAAGTGTGTGTGTGTGTGTGTGTGTGTGTGTGTGTGTGTGTGTGTGTGTGTGTGTGGCAAACTGTGCTGCTGGGGGAGGAGGATGATTGCATTTTGGCAAAAAGATAAACCGAGCAGGGGGGGCGGGCGGCAGGCACCCAGTGCATCCCAGGCCCTCCTCTGAGCCTCCTAACTGAAGTCACAGTGGAAAGGCCTGACGTTGCCCCCCCTGAAGCCGGCCTATTAAACCCTCTCTAGATAGAAGGTTAATTGAGTCTGAATCAGCGGGGGGGGAAGTGAGCCTCCCACGTCTCTTTGACCAAATGTGTCCTTTTCTGAATCAGCAGCTGCTGGTAAACGCCTGATGTGAAGCCGTTGACTATGATGTACATTTCTAGGGCGATTCATTTCTCTCTGTCTCCCTCCAGGAGTCGGGCAGTGGCGAGGAGGACCGGCGCTCCCATCCCAGGAGGTGAGACCACTTCCTGTTTCATGCTCTCGTCTCCCCTTTCCTGGAATAACTCCGTTCTGGCGGCACGAGAAACTGTAGGTCGAGGGTCGGACCAACAGAGGGAGACTGCAGATCAGCTTTCACAGCTTTTTTCGTCCTCAATTACTGACTCACATGTTCGGTTTCACCCTCCCTATAACATGCTAGCAAGGACTTGTGTCTATTCAACCGATTTGCATTGTCATTTTAATAAGCACCTGACCACAGGTAAGAAAATGCAACACGTGATAAATATCTCTACATGTAGGAAGCTTAAGCGTTCTTTAATGTTTTTTCCTGCTGCAAACAAATGATGTCCTGTACGGTGTCACAGGCAGGGGGGGGCGAGGGGGGTTTGCATGGGCAAACTTTGTGGTCGCGGTGGAGTGAATGATTTCCTTTTCATGCGTCCGCGGCTTCATAAAGGACGAGGACGTCAGCCGCTGTTGTTGTCCCGGTGACTCGGGTAGCTCCGGTGTGTGTGTGTGTGTGTGTGGTTGTGTCACTTTCAGTGTAATCTTGTCTGTGGGGACGCAAGGCTTCTACGGGGAGGGAGGGAGGGAGGGGACATCAAAGTCTTTAATGGACTTTGTAAGGGACTCCTGTGGACCGATCCAAGCTTTGAGTGCCACCAGAATCTGGCTTTAAAGGTATTTTTATCATAATAAGTCCTCCGTGAACGCTCTACTGTCTGGAAAACGAGTGGGTGAGACGCAGACGTCCTCTCGGGAGACTCTGGAACAAACTACATGATGTTAATTTCAACCGGAGACTCGTCAGTGAATCAAAGAAGGGCAGAGTTCCCTTTCACTTCTTTATTGCGTGCGTTTTCTTTGGTCGAGGCTCCGGTATCCATCGTGGCTTTTGCGTATGCTAGGTGGGCTGTGGGGGGCGTCGGTGTGAGTGTGTGTGTGTGTGGGGGGGTCGTCATTTTTAGACCTTCTGGTGGACCTGAAACACGATGGCGATGTTCTGCTCCCCAGACATGAATGCAAACTGGTCTGAAAGCAATGAAAGTCCTCACGCACCATGTGATAACCATTTCAGTTTATGACTGCAACCGGCACTGGATAAGCCCGGGCGCCCCCCCCCCGCGCAGCGCTAATAGTGCGCGACACCTGGAACACGGGGGCCCAAAGTGAACCATACCATAAAAGATTTAATATGAAGTCACACATATGAAAACTGAAACTGGGTTACATCACTGCTTTAAACCTTTAATGCACCCCAATAGTGCCAAGGAGATCATGTGGTCCCAATTATCTGTTAGGTAACACAATAAAGCAGCAGCAGCAGCAGCAGCAGCAGCAGCAGCTGGGGAAGTCATGCACACGCACGCGCGCACACACACACACACACGCTACTCATTCCCCGTACGCCTAACATCATCATAGTCCTGTTTTACCACTTGGTGTAGCCTCACTCCAATCCACACTCTCTGCAGGGTGCAGCCAGGGGCCTCCTTTGCTGAGTGACCCCTAACTGCGTATTACATAGGAGCCGAGGTCCCATTACCCCCTCCTGCGCCCCCCCGGCAGTGCATAGGAGCCACTGAGACCCTCGGGAGCCTTTTGCTTCTGCAGCTCACGTCATGTTTTCACTCGATTTCTATTCATTTGTAAAGTGCTTTGGATTGTGGTTTTTAAAAATAAATCTTGATTCTATTATTGATTTAATACCTTTTTAATATCTTTCCCTGTGCAGCTTTTAGTCTCACTCAGCCTGACTTTACAACAGCTGCGGCGTCTGACACCTGACTGATCAGGACCGTCCGCCGTGCATGTCTCTCCGTGCAGAGTGCGGTGCGCGTGTTCGTCTCTGGCCCAGATGCACCACCAGCGGAGCCGGTTCATTTAACGAGCGCGCCGTTGAAGGAAGGAGAAGGGCGGGGCCAGAGAACACCATCTGCGTTTGTTGTTTACGCAGCCGAATGTCGTTAGTGAAGTTTCCAGGATGCACCAAATAAGCAACACGCACAATACAAACGCGTAACGTGGCACCGATTTGTTCCACTTGAGAATCACGGCGTCGGTTGCTAATCGACATCCGAAACAAAATCCCGAGTACTTTTGAGGCAGCTTCGCTTGCGTTTGGTGGCCGCGCACCGTGTCCTCCTCGCCCGGGGGCCGTCGCAGCGCTCCCTGCCTCTCCGCGGTCAAGCGCTCCGCCGGCGACAGGTGCGGCCCGAGTGGTGCGCAAACATTTGAACTGAAGGCGTTGCAGTTGAGCCGCTCTTTGCTTTGCTTTTGTTTCCCGTCCAGTGGCCCGTTTTTTTCTTTTTTTTTAACGGTAAACAGCTGGCTTCAGGCAGTGACCAGAGAGGCCCCACTCTAGGAAACACACACACACACACACACACACACACACACACTGTCCTGTGCCATGTGTTTGTTATCTACTTGAAAACGACCAATAAAACATCTCAAGCCCGCCGGGGTGACTCAAAGGTCTGACACGATAGCGGCTTTTGTCGGGAAGATCACTTTGATTATTATGCCATTTTAAGACTTTGAGAAGCATAACGCATCTAAGCAGCGCTTTAAATGAATAGTTACATCGAAATATTCTAGTTTACGGGTTATTGTTGCAAGAGTAAACGTTTCCAAGTGATTCAAGGAGCACAACGCTCTTGTGTTTGAATTTCTTGCAGCATAGCCCCAAAGAGAGTACAGTCCACCTTGGGCTGTTATTGAAAACACGCGCGCAGGAAGCGGGCCGACCTCTGCGCGCTCGCATTACAGGAACTGAACAAAATGTTCGGCTCGTACGTTTTCGACGCGTTACGTCACCGCAGGCCCTCAACAGCGCATGTCATTACATTACATTACATTACAGGTCATTTAGCAGACGCTTTTATCCAAAGCGACTTGCATTACACTTTATACCCATGGCTTTTTTCACATATTTGCCCGGGGAGCAATTAGGGGTGAGGTGTGTTGCTCAGGGACACTTCGACATCGAAGCACCAAACTTGTGCTTCCCAGCACACCTTCTCTAACCCCTGCGCCACAACGACCCCACAATACAAGAGACTGTTTTAAAATGTTTTATAAGCTGCGTGACACATGTGACCAAACGTGTGTCTCCACATTGGCGTGTTTAATAGCCCCAATGGATGATCAACGCACTGTGTCGCAGCGCTTCAGTAACATCAGTGTGAAGCAATGTGCCTGTTTGGCTCTTGGCTCAAGATTTGTTTTGTTGTTGTTGTTTTTTGAGAATTGTTGTTCTCTTGCTCCTCGCATGTCGGCACGCCAGCAGATTATGAAACGTTTAATGGGCTATAAAAATAAACCGAAAACGTGTGTGTGTGTGTGTGTGTGTGTGTGTGTGTGTTGGGGGGGCGGGTCGTTGCCATCTCCCCGTTACCTAGATACCACAAGCTTTCCCGGTATCATTAATCAACAGCGTTCTACGGTGCACCCTGGGAAAGTTTGTGACCAGGAGCGTGCACCTTTTAAGCAAACTTCACACGCGGGCGCGCGCTCAGCCGGAGAGGGGGAGAGGGGGGAGAGAGGAGAGAGGGGAGAGGGGGGGGCATTCCGCTTCGAGCAATTCTGCTTCCAATAAACTGCTGGAGAAACTCCCTGCACGGCTGCCAGCTTGTTCCCTCCCCCGCATGTGTCTGACTCCTCCCCCCCGCATGTGTCTGACTCCTCCCCCCGCATGTCCTGTGACTCCTCCCCCCCCCCCCCGCTTGACGCTGCAACCCGTTGATGAACCGAGACAGTCACACGCCTCCGTGCTGCACGCGGGCGAGGACTCGAGGACTCGGCTCTCTGTAGCGGGATGAAGAGCGTTTAGGGGACAGCGTGGGACTCGCGCGTGTTTCTTCTGGAGCCCCGGGACCCCCCCCCCCCGCCCTCCCCCCTTTTCGGTTTCTGTCCGCGGAGTGGTCCATCGCGACGGGGACAAGAACCGGGAGGACACGCGCTCCGCGGAATAATTTGTTCTACTTTATTGCGACTTTTATCAACAACAGAGGAAGTTAGGAGACGTTTCGGAATGACTGTTGGAGAAGACTAGAAGGTTCCTTTTTTCTTTCTTTCTTTGCGCCCTGTTGAGACCAAGAGCACCTGCCAGAACCCCCCCCCCCCCTCCCCCCCTCCCGGCATGACGCTCGGCGAGGTGTCCGGGTCCGACGGCTCGTCGGCGGGAAGCTTCTGCTCGTGCTGCGGTGCCAAGATGGAGCTCGTGGCAAACAATCACATCAACCAGCTGTGAGTTTGAAGAAACACGAGGTTTTGGAGAGTTCAGTGTTGTCCCCTCGTGGTGTGTCTCCCGTTGTACACACGCGCGAGTACGCCGAGCATGTGTCGATATCAACATCTGGGACGGGCGCGCTTCCCGGTGACGTGGGCGGGTCGTGACGCACCGTGGTACAGCTGTTTGGACCCACTCAGCTGGATGTGGTGTGACTCACCCGACCGGTTCCACGGGCTCCCGGTAAAAGAGGCAAAGCCACCCAGTCACGAGACCTTGTCCTTCCCCCTTTGTGTTTGTCCAAGGCTGGGACACCGTGTGAGTGGATACTTATGGTTGTTGGTACATTATTACTCAGTTTTTTTATTTTTTATTAAGCGGAAATAAGTTTGAGGAAGACTTAAACTTTACTTTAGGAAACCAGGACACAAAGGAATAAAACCTTTTGAATAAAACCACACGAGCGACTGAGCTCAAGATGTAAACTCCTGATGGATCTTATCTGCGATCCGTGTGGACATCAAGGAGCAGCGAGGTAAAGGATCCTTTCTGCTTGGGAGATCTCAAACGGGATTCAATCGACCTCGGGTCAAGATCAAAGGCCGCTCTTTTGCTCAACAAATCAGGAGGGAAAAAAAAAAAAAATCAGTGTGGAAAGTTAGTCCAACTGGATTAAGAGATGATGAAATCCAACCAACCAATTGAATTCATTTAGCTGCCGTGTTTGTGTCTTGATGTTGTGTAACCTTCTGGGTGCACTGAGGAATCCGCTGTGTCCGTCGCCGCGTTGGTTCTGGGTGAAGTCGAGGTCGAACCGTCTCATCGGTTCCCAGCAGGTCCACCCGCGGTTATTGCAGTGAGGTTGTTGAGTAAACGCAGCGTTTCGCCTTTTTTTTTTCCGGGGCTGCACCCAGTCTTCAAGGAAGTGTATTTATTTAATTATTTCTAGTTGTGTGCATAAATAGCGTTGATGGGAAGACGTTACTGCAGCGCACACACACACACACACACACACACACACACACACACACACAGGGGCCGTGTGTCCAGTAAATAGCAGCAGATGGGGGAATCTTCTGACTTGGTTCCTGGTTTGGTTGCCGACGTTGCATGATTTAACCCCCCCCCACACTTATTTTGTATACAGGATAGAATCCTTTCATCTGCAGCGCCTATAGTGTGTGTGTGTGTGTGTGTGTGTGTGTGTGTGTGTGTGTGCGTGCCTGTTTGCAAAGCTTTAAGTGTTACCTGTGGCTGCGCGCCGTCTGGGGATGTTTGTTTCCCCCCCCCTGAAGCCCTCTCTTCCGCTGCACTTGACTTCCAAAGAAACCAGAGGAAACGCGCGAGGAGCCTGAGGGTGTAGGTCGCTCCTAGTGCCTCCTTAGCGCGTGTGATGATGACCGCGCGGCGCGTTGAGGCGTCAAAGCGACATTTGAACGGGTCTCTCAGAACAGCAACGGCGGCCAGAGTTTGCTCAGGTCGCTGCTGCCTGCTCTCTGGGTTATTAAGGAATCTTCTAGTCTGTGTTTAGTGTGACCTGGCATTGCTTTGTCGTTATCAGCCCTGACCCTTTCTCTCTCTCTCTCACACACACACACACACACACAGAGCAGCTAACTCCCCGTCTTTCCTGTGAGCTCTCTGGTGCAAACCCATACGGCCTTTAGCGGGGGCCTATATTTATCCTACTCTCCTCCTGAGAGTGACTAATATGGGCACGGGCAGCCGGGGGGGTGGCGGTCGCCCACTTGTCGGCCCACCGTGTGGAGTGGTCCTTACATAGTGATGATTGTGCCCCAACCAGCACCTCCTGCCGAAGATGAGCCCCTCTGGCTCCGTCTCCCCTCCTCGCCGACCTCCCTCCCTCCCTCCGTCGCCCGCCGCTCATTTGCGTTTACGTCGTTCTGGGAAGTGCGGAACTCGTTGGAACTCGTTGCCCTTTTGTGTTGCGTATTTCTGGCCTCCGAGCGGTCGCTGCGATCAGAGGCACGCGCAGGCCTCGCTGTCGTAGAAAGGCTTTTTATGTACAGTAAGTCAGCCGCGCTCTTCCTATTAATAGCCGGGACTTTTAAAGGGCCGCAGTATTTTTAGAATCTGAAGTTGAAAGTCATTCAGAGACCCCCCCCCGCGCCCCCTCCCCCCCCAACACGCACACCTCCAGGCACCAGGTTTGCATTCCGCTTCCTCGGCGCGCAGGTGTGAAAGCGCGTGAATGCTTGAGTGCAGGAACTTTTTCGGGAAGAGTTCAGGTGTTATAGATGACATTGTGCAGCAGCAGCAGCAGCAGCAGCAGCAGTGTTGAAAAAAAGAGGCTTTTGCCAAGTACAGTACACGTGTGTGCGTGTGTGTGTGTGTGTGCGCGTGTGCGTGCGCGCACAGCGGGACATGATGCAGCAGGAAGAGAGACGCATAGACATGAAGAGTAGGACGTGCGGTGGAGAGGAAGTGGCAGAGGGCACGGTGACAGGAAACAGCTGGGTCAAGGGTGAGTGGATCACGGGAAATTAGCTGGGCACAAAGCTGTGCTTTGCGTTACTGCACCCCCCACTCGCTCCTCCTGCGCGTCCTCGCTGTGTGAGCAGAACTCAGGAAGGCCGATTAGCAGACGGCGTGAAACCGAAGAACCGCAGAACCCGATGAACTTGCTGGCTTCATTGAAGCCGCTGCGGAGGGCGAGATGGACCGTCAACGCGAGCACACGAACCCGTCTCTTGGGAACTTTCTAAACGCGTCTGTGGCTGTGATGTCACCGCGGCCCTTTTGGATCCACCCCGGCGATCAGAACTCTCGCGTTGAAGTCGAGCGGAACGGCGGGTCGGCGCCTCCTCTGGCAGCGCACCGGCTCCTGTGTTGTGTTGTGATGGACGACAAACGGTAGTCGGCTTAAACTTGACATTTACTGTATTTGACCTGTTGACCCCGATTAAAGTCCACGGACGAGGAGGTCGAGGGTATAAATAAACCCAGTGAAGGAGAGTCCCGGGCAAAGGGCGAGTAATCAAATAAGGAAATTATAAACCAATAAATGAAATCTATTAAAGCCGGCAGATACTTTAAAGTACTTCTAAATAAATCTGTTTCACTTTAAGGCCCCGTTTGCCTGGTCGACGTTCTTGTGGTTGTACTTGTTCCTCTTCCTACATGGGAGACGTTCCTCAGTTTGACTTGTGGTTCCAATTTTGGCAAAACCAGCATCTCCACAACGCCCAGTGTGTGATTACTAAACGCTCCACTTGCGTAGTTTGCACTGTTGATTTATTGTTTTGTTTATTGTTTTTTTGCCCTCTGAGTCTGAATTATCTCCGACATTAAAGCGCATCTTGGCGTTTTATTACTGCGTCAGTGAGAAACTGATGATAAAATAAACAACAATATAACAGCCAAGGAGCCCATTTGGCTTCGCAGTGAGCGTGTTTCTACATCCTGTTGAAAACAAGGTCGCCATTGCTCAACGCTCCCTCGTCATGTCACTCTGATACTGGGGTGGGTGGGGGGGGCAGGCAGGCAGAGGCCGATGTGCCCCCCCCCCCACCCCCGCCCCCCCCGGGTAAGAACATCCTTGAGTCACGTGATGTGTTCCACTCTTTAGAAGTGATGATAGGGGTCCCTGTCCTCCCGGCCCGGCTCTATTTTCCCTCGGACGCTGTGGAGGAGAAGACTGTCCTCCCTCTCACAACCCCGGTCTCCCCCTCAAACCCCCCCCCCCTCCTCCCCCCTCCGCTCCCCAAATCCCTCCCTGCCCTCAGCTGCGTTTGGGAGTACGTCCGGGTGGTGGGGATCCAGCTGCGGCGAGGGGAGGAGAACGTTCCGAGTCAACTTGGGGCTTGGATCTTGTTTTACTTCCACTGGCCCTGTCGCTCTGATTTATTGTTTTCTACTCTTCTTTACTGTTTTTTGTTTTTGGGAGCCTGCAGCCCGCCGAGGCCGGCTGAGTAGATCATTGTGACACTGACATAAGCCCCCGACAATGCTCGCCTGTTCCCTGCTCCCATCCTTTGCTTATTAAGTGACGCCGGGGTCGGGCCTGTTCGAGAAAGTGAAAACAAATGACATAAGTGCCGCGGTGGAAAGGCATTCATGTGCGCTTCTCTCATCTCCTCTCCTCCCCAGCATCAGCGAGAGCTTCCTCACCGTGAAAGGCGCCGCCCTGTTCCTCCCCAGGGGGAACGGCCCCGCGGCCAACTGCGCGCCTCGCACCAGCCAACGCAGGAACAAGCACACAGGTGAGCGCACGGACGTAGCTCCGCCCACTCTCTGGCCCTGGGAATCGAAACCCCCGCCCCCCCCCGAGGGGCCGACGTGAGATCAAATGTCGGCGTGTGTTTCTCAGCTGGAAGCTGCGCGTCAGGTTTAAACGCTTTGGAGACCAGCGTTCCTGGAAGGCATGGAGGGCTTTGTTTTCCTCTCCGATGTGGAGATCAGGTTGAATGCAGGGAAAGAGGCTCCAGTGGGAATAGACGGGAAACTTGTGTGAATGACGTGTTCTCTTTGTTGTTATGGCAACCTGCAAAATGCCAAGGAGCCCAAAACTAAACGAGGATTTGTGACCTTTCACCTCACCTTTCTCTCCAGGTGACCTCCAGAAACATCTTCAGACCATGTTCACGGTGCTGCGGCCAGAGGACACCATCCGACTGGTAAGTAACTAACACACACACACACACACACACACACACACACACACACACACACACACACACACACACACACACACACAGTTTCAGGTCTTTTGTTAGCAAACTGAAGGCCTGAAACTGGTTATGGAACCAGTTTTGCTGAACATTTAAAGTCTTAACTCTGAACAGAAACACCCGTACGTACAACGCACGAGCACTCAAACCAGTAGCTCCTTTTTGATAGAGAGGTATTCCGGTTCTTCAGGTATCTCCTCCCTCCCTTTACCCGCAGGCCGTGCGCCTGGAGAGCGCCTACCCTCAGGTAACCCGCTATATGGTGGTGGTCTCCACCAATGGGCGACAGGACACGGAGGAGAGCGTCGTGCTGGGCGTGGACTTCGTCTCCTCCGACAGGTCGGTGGCATTAAAGCTCGTTGGTACCGTCACGTGACGGCGCGCCGCCCCGGGGGCTTCGCGCCGCTGCTGGTTAGACGTTTAAACCTGTCGATCTTCCCACCTGCAGCTGTACAGTCGGGCTGGTTCTACCTCTCTGGAGTGACACTTTGATCCACCTGGATGGAGACGGGTAAGAGACCATGACCCCACCCACTGCTCCACCCTGATGACGGTTACTTAGTCACGTCACCGGAGGAAGAATGTTGCTGTTGTAAGACGGGTATTAACTATTAAAGGTCTCTTTTTCTTCACAGGGGTTTCAGTGTTTCCACGGTGAACAGGGTTCATGTGTTTAAGCCGGTTTCTGTCCAGGCCATGTGGTAAGCACCCGTATGGTTTCATGTGGAGTGGCATTCAGGTTAAGATTCAGGCCTCAAACCGCTGTATTCATTGTCCCCCCCCCCCCCCCTTCCCTTTGACTTTGACCTCCAGCCGTTTATCTCTGTCATTGTTACTTGTCTTCTCACTGTTTTTTTTCCCCTTTTTGTTTTTCATTATCTCTCTTCCTTCCAGCGTCTCCGTTATCTTTCCTTGTCTCACTCGCCGCTGCTACTCCTTCATTTCTTCCCCGCTCTTCATTTCCTGGTCTCTTTTGTTGCCTTCAGCTTACATCTCCACTATGTCGGTGGAATCTTTCCCTTTTCTTCTGGTTTCTATCGATATCAATTCCTATTCAATCAACCTACTCCATTATATTTCTCATGTGCTATTCTTTATTCCTCACACCATTTGGACCTCCCGTTGTTAAAGCCTCCCCTGGTTTCAATCTGTTATTTGAAGGACACAGTCGTGTTTAATCGTGATTTCTCGCTGCCGTAGTTTCTTTATATTTTATCTTTTGGCTCCTCCAGATGACCTCAAGTTAACCCCCTCCCCCCCCCCAACATCTGTGTGCCTCAGGTCGGCCCTGCAGTCGCTGCACAAAGCCAGCGAGGTTGCCCGCTGCCACAACCACTACCCGGGCTCCCTGTTCCTGACCTGGGTCAGCTACTACCAGAGCCGCGTCGCCTCCAACCAGGTCTGCGTCAACGAGTGGAACGCCATGCAGGACGTGGAGTCGCACCGCGCCAACTCCCCAGTCCTCTTCACTGACCTGTGAGTGGAGGCACGCACGCCGTCTGCGCTGTAACATCTGGAATGTTACTCGTTTCGCGGGGGCATTCCAGGCGTGGGATCATTTTCATTTGGTGCGGGAAGCAGGCAGAGCTCACTAGCTCACTAACACTGCAGCGTTTCACTCACATGAACTAAACAATGTCTAACGCGTGAGCTGAAGAATAGTACAAAGGGTTTTTTAGTGACTAGTAGCTGTGTTGTGTTCAACTTGCTCCAATGCTTTTGCAAACGTTGCAATAGAACAACCGCTGCTATAGTTTAATTCTTCCTAAAACGTCACTGTATCAGTGTTATCGTGATCAGGGTTAAAAGGACGGAATCATTCTGATGGCAAAGCTCTTCAGATCATTCACTTATCAAGTAGAACACAGTCTGCACTCAGTCACGGGGTTGTTTTCTATTACTTTATTACTTTTCATTTCCATGTGATGCTATTCATAATATAACAGTCATCCTTTTATAGAAATCAATTCAAAGCAGACTATCACTTAATGGGCGAAGCTACTCCTCTCTCTGAGAAGCGGAGGGTACCCCATCACCACAGCCGAGGCCTCAGAGGTCACATGGCTCCGCACCGTCACCGCCCCGGGCCGCAAAGCGCAGCGAACGCCTCAGCAAACACGCCGATAGACGCGCGCGTCGGATCTTTGGCGGCAGAGACGTCAAGCGGACGGGGAAAGCACAGACACGAGCTGCAGGATATTTACCGGACCGGTGAAATTCCCCTCCGCTGCCTCGTCACGTGCATCACTACGGATTTAGAGGAATCGGGGTCCACTCAAAACTCGACTGACAAGAAGCAGCCATTCTGGAAACACAAATAGTTCAGACTCTATCTTTGGAGGAGGTGTGTTTGCACTCGAGTGCACTTATCATCGGGATTGCACACACACACACACACACACACTCCCTGTTTGTTGTCCAGCAGAGGGAGACTGCCGGAGCCGCAGGAGCTGCTAGGATTTGTTGACACGGCCGGTCAACGTCCTTGTGCACCCGCTGCACGGCTCGCACGGCAGGAAGAGGCGTAATAATCTTGCTGCGTTGTGGTATTTGGTGATTTCAATGGGGAATTCTTCCATCCGGGAAGCGACGTGATTTGCACCACCGGTGTCGCCATAACGTGTGCGCTTCACTCACAGCCGCCCGTCCTTCGGTCTGCGGGCGGGTTCGGGCTTGTTGTTGGGTTTTAGGGTTTAGTGGAAGGTTGTAACCGACCCGTATCGGTTACCTCACCCCGCGCGGCCTCGGAGCTCGTTCTGGCGTCGAAGTGAACAGGCGGACTCCCCCACCCACACTTCTTCTCCGCGCTGCCAAGGCCTCTTTGTACCCGCTCGGGGAGGTGGTTGGGCCGCTGGTTGGTGTCCGTCAGTGTGACCTACGGAGGCCAAATGCGCGGCGCTCCACAAGGGCACTTTGTTGTGGATGACCGACGGGCGATTTCCCATCTACGTTTCTGACAATCGGACAGAGCGGCAATTCTCTCGTGGATCAAGGACGCTCTGTGAGAGGAAAGTGAATCAAGGGACAGATGGAAGGTGCCGCCGCCGCGGCTCTGAAGGCGGTTTACTGCTTCAAAAATGGGCTGTTTGCAAATGTGTGTCCTTTTCGTGACGGCGTCTTGTCTCCGTGTGCAGACCCACGGAGGGAGAGCGCACGGAGCGGCTCATCAGGATGCGCCTGAGAGAGATCATGATGCAGAAGGACCTGGAGAACGTCACCTGTAAGGAGGTAAGAGGTCCACGGGGACATTTCTGTCGCACAGCTTCACTCGTTGAGTCGCCAGTGAGCTGATCTTTAAACCATCGTACCAGATCCGAACGGAGCTGGAGAGGCAGATGGTTTGTAACCTGAGGGACTTCAAGGAGTTCATAGACAACGAGATGATCACCATCCTGGGACAGATGGACAGCCCCACTGAAATCTTTGAACACGTCTACCTGGTAAGAGCTTCCCAGCTAAGAGGGAGCGACCGCTCTTTCCTTTCTGCACGCGCGTCGATAACCACGGCGCTTGTCGTCTCCAGGGCTCTGAGTGGAACGCCTCTAATCTGGACGAGCTGCAGAGCAGCGGGTAAGAGATCCGTCAGGAACCAACTGATTAACTCACTTTAATAAACGAGAGAATTTACTCTCGTCATCGTCTCGTTGTCTCTCCCGCAGAGTGCTCTACATCCTGAACGTGACCAGGGAGATAGACAACTTCTTCCCGGGGACGTTTCAGTACCACAACATCCGCGTGTACGACGAGGAGGCCACCAACCTGCTGGAGTACTGGAACGAGACCTACAAGTTCATCACCAAAGCCAAGTAGGCCCGGCGCTCGCACGAAGCTCCGCCCTCCGCTTCTCCGCCTCCTTTTTTGTATTCATTTTTAATCCGACGTGCTTTGTCTCCGCCTGTCGTAGGAAAGCCGGCGCCAAGTGTCTGGTCCACTGCAAGATGGGCGTGAGTCGCTCCGCCTCCACGGTCATCGCCTACGCCATGAAGGAGTACGGCTGGGACCTGGACACCGCCTTCGATTACGTCAAAGACAGGCGCGCCGTCACCAAGCCCAACCCCGCCTTCATGAAGCAGCTGGAGGAGTATCAGGGAATTCTGCTGGCCAGGTGGGCTTTCCCGTCCCCCGCGGTTATTCGCGTCCTTTCGCGCGGCATCTCTGAGCTCACGACCGATGTGTTTTCCTTCGTTTCCACAGCAAACAAAGGCACAATAAGCTCTGGCGCTCGCACTCCGACGGCGAGCTGTCGGACCGCCCGGAGTCGACTCGCAAAGCCTCGTCGCTGGGCCGCTCCGACTCCCACAACGGCAACGCCTCCTCCCCCTCCTTGCACCACTTCCTGGGCGTGGCCGTGCTGCGGGCGCTGGGCGCCGGGGACTCGGAGGAGGTCGGATCCGGCCCCCAGCGGCCGCTCCCCCTCCCCCGGGCAGCCACCGTCGTCCCGGAGGCGGGGCCGGACAACTCGACCAGCGTGTCCGTCGCGGTGCCCGTCGCTTTGCCCCACCCTGCTCCGTCACTCCACATCTCACCCCCCACCCCTGAACTGCGACGCGCTCGCCGCAGCCCCCCCTCGCACCTGTCGATTCCGGCGCCCAAACGCACGCCGCTGGAGCTTTGCCTCAATCCGCCCGAGCGGAGCAGCTCGGAGGAAAGCTCGGCTCTCGCGCCGGGCTCCGCCGACTCGGACACTCCGGACCAATCGTTATCGGACGTTACGGGTGACGGGCGGAGCCCCCCCGGGCCCGTGAGCAGCCCGCCCCGCCGCCCGGTCCTCCTCCTCCTCGCCGCCAGCAACAACAACAACAACAACCACGACGACGACGACAACAACAACCCCGGCGAGGCGAGGACGGGCCGCGGCGAGGCCGACGGGTCGTCCAGCCACAGCGCCGACAGCATCGACTTCTTCAGCGCCAGGGAGAAGTTCCTGGGCTTGGCCCAAGATGGCCGCCCGCGGACGCCTTCTGAGCAGAGGACGACGGCGTCCCCCGAGGAGAGCGAAGAGGCCGAGGTCAGGGAGGAAGAGGAGCAGGGCTGCGGGAGCACTCAGGTAATCGCTCCGTCAGCACTTTTCACGTTGATTAATGTTTATTATTGTACGGACACGACTCACCGGCTCGCTCTCTTTTCCTCCCCGCAGTCCGACCGAACTCACCATGACAACGGGGTATCGGTCCGCCATATTGTCACCGAGATCGAAGCCATATGCCACCCCACCTCCGGCCTTCCTCCCGCCTCCCCTCCGTCCCTCCCGCCGCCCCCCCACGGCCCCGAGCCCATCCGACCAGAGCACCGGCCGGAGGCAGAGGCCCCCGAAGCCCCGCAGGGCCCACTGACTCCGCCTCCCCACCCGCAGTGCCCCTCCATGCTGCCGAGCGATTGGCCGGCGGGCTCGGTGCGGCGGGCCACCGAGCAGCTGGAGCAGAAGCTGAAGCAGGAAATGGAGATGGCCGCGTCCCAGCGCTCCCCGCTGCACTCCCCCAGCGGCGAGCATCCTCCCCAGCCGCGGGTCACCCAGGGCGGGGTCGCGCGGGGAGAGGCCGCGGCCGCACCCGCCGACCCCCTCCCAGACCTGCCGCGCCCCCCCGACTCGAGCGCCGGCCGTGTCTCTGCGGCGCCACCGACCACTGAGCCACCAGATGGCCGCGTGATGACATCATCACCCCCCGTAGATACCTCAGCCCAAAGACAAACCCAAATGACTCTGGAGGGGGCGACCGTGCAGGAGTCGGACGCGGACCAGAGGCCGGAGCCCGGCTCGCGGGGGGCCTGCGGCGCCGTCTGTGAGGCCGGGAGGCGGCTGGCTCGTGGCAGCCAAGAGCTGGAGAAGATTCAGCAGACACTGAGGGAGCTGCAGGCTTTCCTCCACGAGGGGACGGCGGGGCCGCCCCGGGGGGGGAGGGACACCATGGACACCGAGTCGGAACCTTGCGAAGGGCGGAGTTCTGAACAGCCCGCCCCGGGCCTGGAAGGAGGACAGCGGCGCCGCGAGAGACGAGAGGGGAAGAGCTTCCGGGAGCCGATGGGGTGGCGCAGAGCCACGGCGCTGGAGGCCCGTATCCGCCAGGCGGGCCTCACCCCCCCCTCGCTGATGAAGAGGTCGGCCTCCCTGGCTAAACTGGACTGTCTGGAGCTGTCGGCCAACGACCTCAGCGACCTCGACCTGCGGACGCACGCCAGGACGCCGATGGCGTCGCATTCCCAGGACTCTTTCTCGCCGTGCGCGTCGCACCCCGACGACTCCTGGAAGAAGCAGAAGGTGTTGGCTCGCGGCGCCCCCCCCCAAAAGACGGCGCTCTCCCACGGCGGGGGCGGGGAGGCCGCCGAGTCATCGTCGTCGCCCTCCCTGCGCTCCTCCTCCCCTGCGGGCGAGAGGGAGGAGCCGGACGGGAGCGGCGGCGGCGGCGGCGGCGGCGCTCCGGCGCGTCAGCAGGGGCGGGGCCACTCGTCGAGGCGATGCCGCAAAGGCTCCGGCGAGAAAAAGCAGCGGGCCGCCGTGTTGTACAACACCATGTGAACTGGAAACACGGCTGGAAGCGGTGCACACGCGTGATGTGTGTGAATGTTGTAGCGGGTGAACTGGAGGACACGCACACGGACGTTTGCATGTAAACACTGGATGTGTTGTTTCAACTGTAGCTCATGTTTGTATGTGCGGGCATGAAATATGAATGTGCAAATGAAAACTGAAGCGTGTGCACACACGCTATGCACACGTGTGTGCGCTCTGTCAGGAAGCGTTTGGTTTTTGGTGTTTGACCCACACTTCCTGTTCAGAGCTTCTACAACAAGAGGGGGCGCTGTTCTCCAAACAAGCACTTTACTGTTTCACTGATTTAGTTTTATTTGAAACCCGGGAGGATTCTTTTTGCACTGATCTCGGTCGACTTGTTTTTGTAAAGCGTGTTTTCTTCATTCAGATTTTAATTGAACCAGGACAACGCTGACGCCTTGGTTTTTTCTTTTTTTTAAATTAAATGCTTTAGCATTAAATAAACGAGTTCGTTTTAACCGCTGTGTTGGTGCTTTGTGTCCACGCGTACATTTTGAGGAGGAAACGAATGAGGTGAGTATTGACTTCACTGCCGCCTGCAGGCCGAGCAGAGAACTACAGCTTCCAACCAGTGAAACGAGTTGAAATGTGTCACGTGACCTTTATGATGAAGGGTCATTTCTACCCGTCACGTCTCCTTGGCGCTCGCACAGCTTATTCCAGGCCGACATTTCACCTCCCGCTTCATGTGGGTAATTAAACACTGAGATGTAGGCCACCGGGCCCCGCTGTGACAGACCCCCCCACTGCACCACAGGGTGAGATTTACAGACTATTATTAAGATGTTTAACCTTCTCTTAACTGTGGTGGCAGTTATTAATGTTGTTGGGGGGCATTTTTGTTTTAGAGACTTATCAGGAAACATTTATTATCTAAATGTGTCAGAGGAATCAAATAAAACATAAGGCTATGGGTTAGTTTAAAAATAAAGTGCACCAGCGAACAGATACTGAGTCTACACAACCGTGAAAGACTTTTTATACTCTACAAGAAGTTCATGACACGCTGGACTCTTGCTTTTGAAGTGTGACATTCTATTCTGATGTTCTTTATAGTAGAACTTGCTGAACCAAACGTTTTCTGACTTGTAGACGACGGATGCTACTTTGTTTTATGACATGTTGACTTTTTATATCTTTTATTCAGACATGCTTTACTGTGACTTTATTTAATTAAACCAACTATACTATGATGCTTGTGCGATATTTTATTACTCTTTCCAACATTGTATTGATTTGACTAATCAACATACTGTAACTTTCATTAGTTTTCGATTTACCATTTTAGTACATAGTTTTGCAGTATTTTTATTTTTTTCTACATTCTCTTCTATAGATCTTTGACATCTGATGACTTTTAATTTAATCTAATTTAATCTTTTTGACTTGTAATACATGACTTTGGTGTATTTTTGCATTTCTCATGACTGTTCAACAAACTTTTTACTATGACAATCAAGGCTTTTTGGTGTCTGTTCTATACATTTACTTTTTTTTAACAAACCAATTATTTCAAAATGACTTTTACTCGTAGCATAGAATCGCTTTTTTGTCACGTGATATGTTTTTTTGTTGTTTTTTTTCACATTTGATACAACTTTTTTAAGACCAGCTACTGTGACCTTTTCTGTGAATTTGTTCCTCATCCTGTTAAGACTGTTTAAAAAAAAAAAAACAATGCACCTCTTCTAATATTGACGCGCTCAGCTTTCCTCTCACACACGCCTCGCTTTGCTTGTGGCTCTCTGCAGATTCTCGTCCACCGTGCTGATGTCATCCATTGAGGTGGAGCTCAGTCCAACGACCTCGTCCTCGGCTCTCTGAGTGGGGCCTTCTGAGAGGTCTTACAATCTCTAAGCTTTGCCTGTCGGGCCTTAAATAACCACAGGCATGACCCCTCTTGGATTAGGCCGAGGCGTCGGGGATCCACGTCACCGGGACGGTGATGGAGGTGACGGAGCCGCTTCGTCACCTTCCCTCGCTCGAGAGGACGAGGGATTTAAAGGGTGTGAAAGCTGCAATTTAAAAAAAGATAAAGAAATAACCCACTCACGCAATGCCGTTCCAAAAGGTTTTTCTTTATTTAAATCGTCTCGACTCATTTACCACGAAAACATCTCGCTGCATCTCTTTTCAGCGGTTATTTTTTTTTTTAAAAAGTAAAAAAAATGAAAGTCATGTTATAAATTAGGCAAGCTTAAATGTGAACCGGAGAGGAGGCTCCTCCGCTTGTGCTGATTGTGGAGTGTGAACGTTCTTCTTCTGAAATAACACAAAGAGAGAAAAAAAAAAACAAGCTGTCTGCCCCCGTCCCTCGCAACAAGACTCCAAATGTCCCCCCCCCCCTCGCTCGGCTGGCCTCGAGCCCTGAAACACGGCGTTACTCACAACTCACGGCTCGACAATCTGTCCATCCGAGATCAAAAGGCGCCGCGCTTTTTTGAGGCGATTCTTGTTTTTCAGCATCTTTCCGTTGGTGTGGAATAAAACCTAAACCTGTCCGGGGGCCCATCCCCACCCCCCCCAAAGAACCTGCCTTTATATTTTATGACGTTGGGACAAAACAAACCTGGCGCGTGCAGACCACATGCTGAAACATCGCACACGTCTCGGCTCGTGTGAGGATGCAAACGCACACAGACACATTTCTATTCCACAATCCACCTAAAAACCGCTATCCAGGTCCTCCTCGGCCCGACGCCCGTCAAACACGCTACATGTAATCGCTCAAAGAGGCGTCACGCTGAACCCGCTGATCTGGGTGTGTGTTGTTTCCCGTAAACTGCCACCGGTCACAAAGTGCAGAACCACGTGGACCAGAGCGAGCGAACGGGCCGCCGTGCGGCATCATGGGAAAGGTCGGGAGGGTCGGGAGGAAGGGGGAGGCCGATCGATAGGATATAGCTGTGCTTTTATAACGACCCCAAATGCCCTTTGCTCCCGTGTGTCTCCCCCCCCCCTCTCCCCCGCCCGGGGCCTCATTTCTCCATGAGTGACAGCCGGATGATGCGCTGCAGCTCTGCGTCTTCGCGCCGCCGGCGAAGCTCCGCCTCTTCCTGCTCCCGGGCGGAGATCTCCATGGCGATGCGCAGCTGCTGGTCGTAGCTGCAGCCGGTCGGCTGCTTCTTGGAGGGGGTGGAGCCGAGGCTGGAGGGGGCTCGGGGCTTGTGCCGGGGGGTCCTGCGCGGGGGGGGGATGCAAGAACACGGGTTGATTCAGGAGATCATCAGTCGGGAGGATCTTCTCTGACCTCTGTGACCTGTTCATACTGCTTTTACATCTACGTTGTTGATTTATTAGTGATAAACGGAGATGCTGTTGCTTTATCAGACCTTTCCAGACCTTTAGCTTTGGAACTGATGGCGGATCTCAAAGGACATTGTGGCGAGAAAAGCTTTAGCAAACGGAGGTGCGACCTTTCGATTCCAGATGAATTAGGGGCATTGTTTTTGACAGAAACTGAGGCTGCAATAACAAATATGTGTTAAATATTGTATTAACTTTTAAATGTCTGGGGTTTTAAGAAAACAAAGCCGGACCGGCCACCCTGAATTTTTCACGACCTGGCGAGCCAAAGATATTAAAGAGATATTTAGAGATAAAGAGATGTTAAAACCGCTTGTAAAATTAAATTCTCGTCACATAGACGACACGCTGAAATGAGATCTCCTCACTCCCCCACGCAGAGAGACAGAAACGACCATCTGAAGATAACGCACTCTAGTCAGTACTGTCGGCTGTGAAAGCAGGAAACTGTCCAACCGTCCTCCCGTCCTCCCCCCCCCCCCCCCCACACACACACACACACACACACACAGCAAAGGGGAGGCGAGAGGAGAATAGCAGGATGGATAAAAAAATGGAGTCGGGGGAGACAGGGCAGGAATACAGGATGTGAGTCAGGGAAGGCGGGAAAGATCTGCAGGATGCAAACGAATACAAAGGAAGACAGCGAACAATGACGGAATATAAGCGAGAGGAAGCCAGAGACAAAGCAGGTGAAGGGACAGCAGGAAATGTCTCCTCTGTGCCGTCAGCCGCGGAGATTTATCTCTCTTTTTTTTCTCTTCTCGGCATTTGTGGGGGTGTTTTTCTTCTTCTTTTTTTTTTTTTTTTTTTTCAAACAACTGATGCCTTCAACCGACTTTATCTGCAGCTCCTGGTGGTGTCCGGACATTGGAGGGGTTGGGGGAGGGTGGAGGGAAGGATGGAGGGCTGAGTGGGATCAGAGGAGAAGAGCGCTCCGACCTGTCCAGGCGGCTGGGCTCGCTGGGGGGAGGGTGTGTCCCCGGCTTGCTGTTGGTCAGAGCCTCCCAGATGGTCACCTGGACACAACGAGGGGACACAGGAAGTCAGGGGACGGACACAGGAAGTGGGCGGTGGAGAAATAAAGAGGCTTGTCCCAGCATGTGACATATCCATCCATTGGCTCTTTAGTAAACTGGACTCATATTCGTTATTCTGATACAGCTGTTAAATACACTACACAACAAATACAGATTGTACCACTTGTTGGAGTCTCCACTCTACATTAATACTGATCATTTTCAACATTCCTACTCAACCTTCAGGCCGTGTTCCTTCATTTCAGCACACTGGGAAAATCTCATTTAGTAACGTTTAATTGATAGGTTGGATTCATTTCTATAATTCTTGGTAATGTTGAGTGGTTTATGCTGTGCGACCTCCTCCAGATCAAAGAAGTACAACGTGAACTACGTGTCTGATTCTCTGCTTACTACTGTTGTCTGGCACCAAACTCACGTGATAATGAGTTAGAAATAACTTCCGTCCCTTCGACAATTGTACAAACTCTCTCCTGCCTCCTACCTGTAGGATGACCTTTGACCTGTCTCACGGAGCCTACTTATTCTTCTCTCTCCTGCACATCTGGAAGAGCCTAAAAGCAGAACCTCTCCTGGGGCAGCGTTGAACAGAATGAGCCTCCACACGTCACGAGCAACTTATTCTGCGCATCGATTTCTCTCCGTTATTGATTGTCGCTTTTCTCCTTCTGCACCGTGTCTATTCGTCTGCTTGTGCTTGAATTATTGGTACTTGGCGATTTGTGAACCTTGAACATGTTTTGTAAAACCAAAGCAAAAGCACTTGTCGTGTGTATAGGTGCATACTCCATGCATGGAGACACAGTACAAGTACCAGGCGGTTGCATTGTGAGCGTCTCGGTGCAGTAAGCTGGATCAGTCAGCAGCGGTCGGCTCACCTGATCGTACTCGGAACCGGCCTCCAGCAGACTCTGCTGTATGGCGAACTGCAGCAGGTCCTCCTCCTCGTCCCTCACGCTGTCCCTCTGCTTGCCTCCTTGCATCGAGTAGCCAGGCGGGGGCTCGAACACACACGGCGGGATGTCCCCGGCCCGGCACGACGCTGCAGCGCGGGCGGGGGGGGAGTAACGCAACGTCAGTTCTTCGGTGCAGCAAAACGTTCATTGGCTAAACTAAGGCCTGAAGGATGCTCGGTGGTGTCGAGCGTGCGTTCTTACTGCTGGAGCTGGAGCTGGAGACGCTGGAGGAGTCGCTGCCGGGGGACGGGGTGTCCCTCGGCGCGTCCCTCTGTCCGTCGCCTTCGCCCCCCCCGTCGTTGTCGGCCCGGACGCCGGCCCCTTCCTCGCAGCCGTTCAAGTTGCTGAAGGTGATCCTGGCGTTTAGGATGTGGTAGAGGGGGATCTCTGCAGGGGGGCGGGGGGGTTAAAGGTCAATCTGCGTGCTTTGCAATGCTCTCATCACCCAGTTGATCACTCATATCCTCACGTCCATTTGTCTTTTGTCCCCTCCTTATGCTTCTGTCTTCATTTCTTTCCATCCATCCCATTTAACGTCCCATTGTCTCCCTTTCTATTCAACCGGCCATGATTCCCTCCCCCCTCCCTCCCTCCCTCCCTGGATCCGTCTCTCTGTCCGTCTCACCCACACAGCAACTCACCGATCTTGACGGGGAAGCCGGGCGGCAAACGCAAAGTGATGAAGTCTCGCAGCTTTGCGAAGAGCGTGTTGGAGATGGCCATGAGGTCGATGATCGGCACCACCTGCTCTGCCAGGGACAGAGGGTGGGACTCGCACAGCCACATCTTGGCTTTGAACCTGGAGACAGCAACGCAAAACACAACGGATCTTTATCAACGAATGAGCAGGTGGATTACTGATCACCAATAAATAAGCTTCACTCAATTCATCCTGAGAGAGACTGCAAGGTCATTTGTTTGTCAGTGAGCAGGGCGACTTCTCTGCATGCACGGCTGCCTGTCTGTAGTTCTGCCTGTCTGCTGTTCTGCCTGTCTGCTGTTCTGCCTGTCTGTAGTTCTGCCTGTCGGCCTCACCTCTGGGTCTTGGTGGTGAGCTGGCACGGGTGGCCGATGTCCCTCTGGGTCGGGGACGAGCCGGGGTTGAAGTACTCCTCGGCCGTGAGGGCCGCGGGGTTGGTCATGGCGGGACACGTCATCTGGGTCACCAGCGCCTGCAGGGAGGGAACAACCGTTTGAAAAGAAAGACTTCTAACCGATCCGTTCTCCGACTACGTGCTGCTTTTCAAACGGACTTTGTCAGGTTTTCTTTGTCACGGAGAAAACACCCACAGGGATTTCAAGGCTTTCCGCTTACTCACATTTTCAAAAGCTCAATGACAGAAAAGCATCGGTTCAGAGGCCACAAAGTTAGTTTGTGTGACCCTAGTAAATGTTTTAAAGCACGGTGCCACATAAGCTGCTAAAGACTAAAACGCATTTTCCTTTCAGACAAACTCAATTCTGCACAATCAATTTAGCGTTCAGCGAAATACAGTAGAAACGGCAAAGCTTTAAAGCTGCACAAAGTATCTGTCCGAGCCGAAAGCAGCAAGTTGTGCGCCGTGCAGAGACGATAGAGAGGCATGAAGCGTGAAGGAGCAGAGGTGAGAGTGAGGGGGAACAACGTGAAGAAGACGAGGGAGGGGGCGTATGACTCATAGAAGCTTTCCAGCAGACATTTTACAAAACAAAACACAATCAATATGTGAGAGAGGGCAGGTACGATGCCGCTATTGATTCCCTCTCGAGCTCCACAGTTAATGACATAACCACATGAATGGCTTCGATCACGCAACACATCCCTCGCTCCGCGCGCTTTAAATGCATGGCGTGACAAGAGGCCGCTCCGCTCACTCCGTTGTTCGGTCCCATGTGCTGCTCGGCGATCCCGAGGAAGTTCTGCAGGGGGGTCTTCCCTCCTGCCCAGAGACAAACGGCGGTTACACAACAAGGCTCGTCCTTCGCCAACAACAGGAATGTACACCGAAGAAAAGGCTTTTAGGCCGCTACACAACAGCAGAGTGACACAACACGTGAACAATTAAATACATTCACAATACAAACATCGTCATACGGGAGTATAGATCGAATTAAAATCTCATTATTGGACATTATTGGACATAAAACTAGCTAATTGTGTTCATATGTACTAACAGTAAGTATCAGCAGCTCAGAGAGACTTGAAAGGCCCAGCGGGTTAATGACAGTGTGTGTGTGTGTGTGTGTGTGTGTGTGTGTGTCATGGTGTGTGTTGTGAGACCTTCACACAGCCTGCGTGTACATATAAGATACATCTAAACAACTCGCATAAATCTTTCCACGGTGTTGACTTGGTGATGATAAGCAGCGGCGAGGGACGGAATGAGTCACACGTCGAGGAGCCGGCGCAGAGCTGATCCCGCTTGATTTATGACCTGAACCGGAAACGCGAGAGGGAGACGCCGATCCGACGCCACGGCGGGGGGGCGGCGGTCAGGTGAGGAGGTGGATTAGTCACCGGGGACTCGTTGGGTCGGACACGGCGCGGGGCGACGTGTGCACGAGGGCCGACTCGGTGGCGTAAAGAGGGCGATGATGTCCAAGGCGTGCAAAATGAAAAAGGGACGTACCTTTTGTCTTGTTCTTGTTCTGATCGGACAGATGGTCCGTTCTGGTCCGGGTGATGAGCTCTACGTTGGATGCTGCAAACACCTGAGAGGAGGACAAAATAATATAATAATAACAATAATAATAATATGTATAATTACTATGTTAATGGACATTGCAAAATCGACCATTTATTCCCCAAAAAATAAATAAATAAATAAAATAAAATAAATGAGGGGATTGGGCAAAATAAATAATAATAATAAAAAAATAAAAATAAAATAAAATCTATATCTATATATATATATATATATATACATATTCGGTTGACCAAATTAAATTATCTAATTGTATTGGGAAAACCCAATATGAATAAAAGTATTTAAAGTTATTAAATGCAGAAATGAGCTGAAAACAATCAGGAATCATCAGGAATCAGGATGATGATTGAGGAGGAAATGTTGTCCTCCATAGTGATGTAACTTAAGTCATTAAACCCCACAGAGGCCTCGATTCACTGTCTGACCCCTGATCAACACATCCCCCCCAAATCAGCTCACAGATTTGTCAAACAGATTTAAATGAGAGACGGACGCAAGATGTCACTGACCCAAAAAGCAACATTAGAGTTCGATTGCCCTTGTTTTTTACAGCAGAAAAGGACAATGAGCAACTGTTTACATTTGTCAGATTAAGAAGAAACCATTTGCATCACTATATCTAAAATGTACAAAACCAACCAACCACTTGTTTTCCCACCAGCGCGCCCTGAAAAGGAAAATACTGATTCAAAATCGAGCAGGACGCTGATTTCTGAGTTTACGCTGGACGCCGGACGAGCGGAGGCAGGAGACAAAAGACGGCCCGGTGGTGGAGCAGTAAATCACAATGAGTGATGCGGGGAAGAGGCAGCAGTGTTTAATGCAGAGCCTCTCTGAAGTGCTTTTAATGGTCCGGTGTGTCCGACTCCCATCCGTCCCCCCGGGGGGCCGGACGGGACAATGGGGTCAAGGTACTGTCTGGGAGAGATAGACTTCTTATTTCTGCCAAATGCGATGGGCCCTCGGGTCTTTGAAGGGTATATTCATTTTCCTCACTTTGGGGTAAAGAAGTCAGGTTTTAGAAATCCATCCGGCATTATCTGAAAATGTCGAAGGTTGTGTCCTTTGAAAGGTTTTAAAATAGCTCTGGGGGGGGGGGGTTCTTTCTGGAAACGAAGGTCTCGGAGTGGAGTGGACTTTGGGGAAACATCAGAGTGAGGCGTTGCGGCGGTGAGAGATCGGCTACCTTGGCTTCGTATCCGTTCACGTTCTCGGTCTTCTCGCTCCTCCAGCCCAGTATGCCCGTCTTGTTCCTGCAACAAAGATTCAAAACATGACACGTCACTTCTCATCAGCAACAACAACAGCAACAACATGGATTGTTCTCCTCTCACGAGCAACCTGCAGATGAGAGGAAATCACCAACACGGGTAAACGAACAGGTTACTTCAAGATCTATTGACATCACTGATCTCCATTAGGACCTCAAACGATGTTCACTTCTTCTGTTTTAAGGGTCATTGTGCCTTTCAGGTCACGTCAGGTGTATTGAAACGTTTATTAAATGGTAGTTGCGGTGGTGTGGCTGCATGACAGAAGTTATCTGCACCAAAGCAGGACGAATAGATTATCATGCGGACAGGAGTGCTGAGCTGGGAAAAGGCAGAGAAGGTGACAAATTAGATGATAACCCCCCCCATCTCTCCTCTCTGCCGCTCCACACTCCATCTTCTAGCTTTTTATCGGTCAACATTCACTCTGCGTCCTTTTCAGTGATTCCTCCATCGATCACCGCGTCTCATTTCACTCCGCTCTGTGTTTGGGAAACAATATCGGGCTTTTGTCCCCCCATATTTTGTGTCCTATTCGTCCTTTTCTCTCTGCGTGTCTTCTCTCATTTCTCTTTGTCCAATCCCCTCATTCTGTCCCTCGTCCCGTTTCCTCCGCTTTCTTTCTTTCATCCCTCGTTCCGTCCACGTCTTCATCTCCCCTCAATCCGTCCCGACCTGTCGTCCCTGTCTCTTCCTTCTGTCACATCAGTCAATCTCTCCTCCATGTCCCCCCTCCTTCCTCCTTCCACCTCTGTCAATATTTGCGTTGATGTACTTTATGTGGACACCGAGCCGTAAAAACTGTCCCGTCAGCGTGATAGAAAGCTGAAATCACAGCACAGGAGCATCCAATTTTCTTCTTCTAGGCCGTTTCTCCGTTCCTCTGAGCTAAAGTCTCTTTGGGCTGTGGTCCCGCCCCTACGCTCCCCGGTGCGACTTACTTTACCACATCGTGACCTCCGTCAAGTCACCTGGGGCTCATTCACACAACCGGAAGCTTTGCTCCGTCACTCCGTCCACCACACTTACTTCTTGACACATTTCCACCGTTTCTTTAGGCTCCACTTCCCCCTTTATTGCCGCTTTTTTTGTGTTTTCCTGTATTTTTTTTAATGCCTTTTGACAGCCAGCAGAGAAGGCGCTTGACCTTGTGGCCCCCCCCCGGCTGCGGGTTGGAGCGCAGGAGACAGCGGCCGCAGAAGAGAGTCACAAATATTCCAGTCTGGATTACAATGTGTTGCCCCGAGGCGGCTGTCGGTGGAGAAAAGGCCATTGTGCTTTTCAGGGGAAGATTCCTGCCGGTGTGATTGTTAAACTTTGTTATAAAAGGGTGAGACGGCTGCGCTTGCTGTTGGATTCTGAGAGTTACATGAAATTAGTTTGAAAACTGAACCTTCATCTAACCGGTTATGAGCATCGAGTTGTTAGTTGTTAAACACGGGATTTCTCGTATATAATTCGGTGTGTTTCTGCGAGGTTTCCCGCACAGCGTGACTGTGACTTATACCACTCTCCTCGTCCCGCGTCAGTGTTGTCTGACCTCTCGAAGGCGATGTTGCGGGTGTCCAGCTGAGTTGTCACCACGGGCGCAGACAGCCGGGCTGCTACCTGCTCATCGCTGGGCTGAGTCGCCCCCAGAAGGCCCAGGCCGCCGCCGTTGCCGTTGCCGTTGCCGCCGCAGGCGCCGCCGTTGCCCCCGCCGGCTGAGAGCGCCGCGAGAGACGAGACACACAAGGTCTCGCAGAACACCAGCTGCCTGTCGTGGTCGACCTCCATCACCTCGGCGCTGGCCTCTGAGCGGGCGACAGACGGGGAGAGTCAGTGAGCACGAGGGAGGACGGAGGGAGCGCTGAGGCCGCCAGTTCCTGAAAATCCTAAAAATCTGTAAATGTAATTTATTTTTTGGAACAGGGGGCGTATCTGAGAGTTAGATCTCTCATATCTGAATGCCTGCAAGCTCCTGCCACTTAGCTTAGCATAGCACAAAGCCCTGCGTACATTCTCACACACACACACACACACACAATAGGTCAAGAGTTTGACCTCTGACCTTGTCCCCTGAAAATGAAGCTCCGCTTTCCTCGCTGCCAGGTCATCTGCTCGAAGCCCATCAGGGTGGTGTCGACGCGAAGGCACTGACCGCTCTTCCAAACTCTGTAGGTGTCGCTGGGGCAGATACGAGACACCAGGGGCACTAAGGACAACACACGGGGGGGGAAGGGGGGCTTTAAATGTCACTCGGACATCTAATACTGAAATGACCTCCTCCTTGTGGTTTTGTAAAGCATAAACTGTTTAACTTTAAAGCCAAGACCCTCTGGAGCCCGAGAGGGAGACGATAACTGATGATTCATTCTGATCGGTCGGTTCTGCACTGATTTACTGACTAGAAGGAACGACTGGACTCACCCCAGCTGGTGAACTCCCATTTCATCTCCACGTAGAAGTCCTGGGCCTGGACAGGAAGATGGAGAGAAGAAGAATAAATGGGTAAGGGGGGGGTTCGTTGGGGGGGAGGAGGGGGGCATTGATAAAGAGAGAAATAAAGAGAGATAATCAGGGAGATGGAGAGTGATGAATTTTAAGATGGATGGACAGAGACAGCGGGGAAACAGCGAAGTGGAGGGAAAGGAATTGATGCTGCTTCATTGTCGGTTCGGAAGACGGGGGTGGCAGTTTGTGCGTGTGTGTGTGTGTGTGTGTGTGTGGGGGGGGGTTAATAATAGAAGTGATGGATGGAGCAGAGTGATGGGAGCAGCAGAAGAAGAACTGTGTGCAATGTCTGCAGGTCCATGTGTGCTCGAGTGTGAGAGGATTGTGTCTATTAATGTGAGTGCGATAGACTGCGCGTGTGTGTCCGTGTGTGTGTGTGCGCGCGCGTGTGTGTGCGCATGAATCAGCTGGAGCAGATGCGCAGGAAGACAAGGAGCGCGTGAAGGCCGTTTCCCTGCATCTCAGCATCTCTGCCGCTGCAGCCGCCGCATGGCGATCGGCTCTGTTGTGCCGTCGGCACGGCGACCCGTGCCCCCTCCAGGGGGAAGTCATGACTCGAATTAACCAGCGACATTTCCCTTGTTGGGTAGTACACATACTTATTAATAACTTCAAACGATACCCTAAAACAAAAATGTTAATATTAAAATCATTCATCTACATTTCAAACGATCTCAAGCGCTCCCTTGATGAGCCTTTGTCGTTGTCTGTTTGTGTTTTTTCTTGGCGCGAACATGTTTTTGTGCGCGTGCTTTCAGGGCTGGTTTGTGTGTAACGCAGGTGCGTGTCGTGATGGATGGGAAGCGCGTGTGTGTCTGTGTGTGTGTGTGCGTTATGCCCACTTGGCGTAGTCTCTCCAGCAGGACGGGGATGCCCGCCAGTCTCTTGGCAGTCCTCTGGTAGTCACGGTAACGAAGCACGAGACGCACCAACTCTGGATCTCTGGTACTCACCGCCTCCTGAAGAACTGAGAGAGAGCGAGGCGGCGATCAAAAACGGAGCCCGTCAATCGGAGCTTATTTAAAATGAGCAGTTTAAGGGGGGCGGGGGGTGCGAGTGGGGACGGGGACGGGGGGGTTGCCAAAAACTAAAGTAGGCCACTGGAAAGGCCGGAGCGATTATAGCAGCTCGCCCGTCATTTGCCTGCACTTGAACAATTAGGGGTCAATTTTCTTTTCCCTCGCCAACCTGTGAGGGTCAAAGGTTAAATCAATTCACCTGCCCTATTGTGGCCCACAAACACAACATGTGCAGACTGTTAGTAATTTTCCACTGCAGGAATAGTCATTAGAAGTGGAACATTTTCTGGACATTATAAACTAAATAATTTGATGGATTGCGATTCGTCTTTGTCACTTAAAGAAAGACATAAACAACAATAGTGACGCTATAAAACAGGTAATATCCATATCATTATATTCGTTTTTCATTACTAATGGAGATTATATGTATAAAAATGCCTATAGAAATAGGACAATGGGCAAACTGTGAATTCGGACTGAAGGGTGGCCTTTATTTACTAGCGTAATTAGAGATAGCTTTCAGGTTTATTTGTAATGAGAGTTAAAATCCATGACATTCTTACCCTGAGAAGGAAGCAATTAAAAAGATAAACATGTTGTGGATTTTGCCGCCTTCACTGTGATCTTTGAGGATGACGCCTACCTGCCTCTAACCCCAGCGATGCATACAGGTATGACCCCCCCCCCCCCCCCACTCACCGGTCCATCCGTTGCGGTTCTCCTTGCTGACATCGGCGCCGTGCTGCAGCAGCACGCGGGCGCAGTCCAGGAGGCCCAGCGTGACCGCGAGGTGGAGAGGGGTCCGACCGCGAGGGTCCAGAGACTCCAGATCCGTCTGGAGGGAAGAGGGAGACGAAGAGGATGGAGTTGGCACCAAGGAAAGGAGGAGCAGACGGAGGAGGATGAAGGCGGAGGGTTACGGGGGGGTTAATTGTTTGTCGTCGTAATTCTCCCTCGATCACAGAAACAATAAAAAACAAAAAGACACACGTTACAGGGACACAAAGTCCCTGGACAAAGACCGGACGGATGGAGTTGAGCCGAACACGGATGGGACTCTCTGCCTCGGCAGCCGGAGCTTTTTAAACCGCCTTCTGTCGTCCCCGTTACCCTTCGAAAAGCATCGCAGAAGGTTGTCAGTTTGAGTCCCCGGCAGGGAAATGTAAACAGGTAACGCACGTCAGGAGCAAAAGCTTTCCGTCTGCCACGGCGCGTTCCTCTGAACATATGAGACAAAACGCTCCAGGCTTCTCCTCGCGCCTCCGCTCTGTTCTTAGAACCGTATTAGTGTTATTGTGAAACATCAATCGTACACCGATGATCCCATATACTGACTGAAAAGGTACCCCTACCCCGATTAGCTCAGCTTAGCTTAGCAGAGAACAGCCAGGCCTGTAAGCCAAAGTATTAAAAAAATCCATCCAATCCGGCACCTCTAAAGCTGAACGGGCCACTTAGAGAGCGTTAAGTGTGGCGTTAAATCAGAAAGACAGACGATACTGTCTCTCCTTGTCAATATATCGAGTTGGGGAGATTGTTGGCAGGTCTCGATGGGCTTCGCGGGGCTTTACAGGCCGGACCCCCCCCTCTGGAGGCAGATTGCACATCATCATTGATCATGAAGAATCCTGCAAGCGTTGCCCTGTCAAACAGCCACTGGGCCCGAGGTCAGCTACGATCTGTTCACCCGGTGAGACATCACGTCTATATTCACCCGGTGAGACATCACGTCTCCATTCACCGGGTGAGACATCACGTCTCACCTGATGAGGAGGCTGTTTTGCTCTGGTCCGTCTGCACCACTGTTTCCACGCTGAGTCCCTCTGCAGGATGCCGCACTGACCTCAGATCTGCCTCCCAATTAAACAGATGCCGGCAGCTGCAGATCCAAGGTCGGTCCTGTCAGCGTGTTTTAGGGGGGAGCTCGGATTCCAATTCAGGATTACTTCGGTAGATAAGTGACTCAGCGTCGCTGTGGCCAATGAAAACGGTTCTAATTGGAGACCAATGTGGAAGGTTTCAGTTGTAAATGATTTTAACACTTGGTGTATCACACTAGATGAGATCGGGGAAGAGGCCCGACTCCTTATTGGTCCACATAAATCCTTAAATCAAAGCAGCTGAGGCTGAAAAAAACCTACTCAACAACTCACTATGAGGAAGCTTCCCACAGTATGATACCCTGATAAAAATGACTGACAGCTGACGGTCCCACACTCTTCTATACTGCTGCGCTCTGAGAAACACACATCGGGCGCAGAGCCGGACCGACCCAGCAGTTACATTATCACTCGCTTACTGCAGCTTTCTGTTGCAGCCATTTGAAAGGGAAATGAGGGAAACCGCGCGGGAGACACACAACCCTTCGATGGCGCTACGAATTCAAATACAGACACAAAAATAAAATGTATGGATGCAAATGTATGGATGCAAATGCATGCGTTAATAGAACGCCCACAGACTGTTAAAATGTTACACGATGACATCAGTGTGTTAATGGGAGAGAACAATAATGTGGCTGGAGACGTTTCTATCGAAGGAAACTGCCTGTTTAGCAGCAACCGTGACACGTGAGACAAGTGAACGTGGAGAAAGAGCCCAAGAGAAAAAAAAGCACACGGAGAACGGAGATTCAGAATGCAAGGAGGCAAGGAGGCAAGGAGGCAAGGAGGCAGGGAGGCTGAAGGAGACAACAACACGAGGGAGTCTCTCAGGAGCCGAGGAGACCGGGGACCCGAGGGTGGAAGAAAGAGAGCAGTTGACTCGGTTTGCGTGCGCCGGATGACGAACATGGTGGAACATGCAAATGCTGCCGCATGCAGCGCTGTGTGTGTGTGTGTGTGTGTGTGAGTGTGTGTGTGTGTGTGACATAGACAGACTATTGTGCACGGGCAGCACAAACCAGGAAGAACCGTCACTGTCACGGGGAGAAAAGTCGAACGTCAAGTGTCCATCATTTAAAGAAGACAAGAAGTGTGACTCACAAACGGAATATTAATATTGAGTCCCTTGGGAGACATTTACACGTGTTTTGGGGGGGAAATAAACACAAAAGAGGGTAAGAGAAGAGAAACAAAGAGAGACGAGAAAAAGGAACAGATGCGAGAAGAAGGAGCCTCACAGCCGTCCTTTCATCCATCTCTCCCCTTTAAGTGGCGTCTAATGTCGGTGATTATCAGTTTAAGCTCATTTCGCAGCTGTGCTCGATGTCGAAAGGGCGGCGAACGCGAGAGCTCGAGGGGCCGAGGCGCCGCGCGGAGACGGATGCTGAAAAGGGCGAGGCCCGACGCGTGGACGCGGAGAGAGAGGGAGGGAGGGAGGGAGGGAGGGAGGGTCGAGCCGGGGCAGCATCACAGGGGAGCATGTAGAGGGAGACAGATGGGAGAGGGAGCGACGCTGCCATATAAGCAGGTGTGAAACAGTGGAGCTCCGGCTGCCCGGCTCGGCAAAAGGAGGATTTGGAAAGGGCAAGAAGAGGGACGCCCGTGTACTCGGCGTCTGCGCTGGTTTCTGCGAGCGATGTCGAACGCCCGCATTGTGTCTCACAAAAAGGCCCCGTTCAAAAAAAGACGTTCGACCTCATTCAGAGTTCGTCACGAACTGGAAGACCCGGCGCGCCCACAATCCGGCTCGTGGTCGCGATCGGCAGGCGTCCCGCGCGGTTCCGTGAATGCAAACAAAAAGCCACAGAACCCTTACGCTCCGGTTCGTTTGATCCAGTTTATTCAAACGATAGAAAATGATTGAAGGGCTTCAATTGACACACAGTCCCTCACTCACACGTGAACAATGCTAAACACACACACACACACGTCTTACACACTTGAAACTAAAGCTTGATGAACAACGAGCTCTGGTTCATGTATGCACATCTGTCTGCGGCTCACTCGGTATGAATATAGTCTTTTTTTTTTTTGCGATTTGTAAATTCTTATGTCATCGTTGCTCATCTCCTTCTGGCAATATGTTTTTTTAATTGTTTATTGTTTCAAAGCCACGATTGACTAACTGAATTAAGCAAGACAAGCACAAATCATTACAACTGAATTCTTATTATTGCTGTTAGTGAGGAAGCGTTTACTACAGAGATCACATCACATTATACTGACAGGGCGTAATCTCAAAGGCCCTTGATGACAGCAGAGCCTTTACATCTCACCATCATCTCATCAACGTTTATGTTGTGTTGTATGTGAGCTGTTTTAATAGTTCAAATGTGAGAATGTCGTGTTTTGCCGTTAGGTATCGCACAACTTCTTGGCAGGAGAACAAGGAACATAATGGAGCATTTGTAGAACAAGTTAAATGCAAACTGGACTGTTTATCATTGTAAAAGCCGTGGATGCGCTGAACAAAATGTTGCCCCGGCGGACGCACACTGTTGTCATGTTTTATCTTTCCTGCTGTATCTCTGTCCATGCTCCATTGTGTATATATATATATATATATATATATATATCTGTATGTATATATAATCATTGTGTCAGTTGGTCTCTGTCCTCATATCTACATCTTATAATCGAGCTCTTTACTAATTATCCTCTCCTCCGGCTCTCCTCGTAGTGTTCCCATAGTGAGCTCAGGGGAGGTTGCATTATTGATAGGCATCTCTATCTGTGGCATCTGCTCCCTCTCTCGCTTCCCCTCCCTGCGTCTTTCTCTCCCCCCTTTCCCCCTCGCTCAGTGTGCGCCGGCCTGATGCAGCTTGGCAGGTACTTAGGCCCACATCAATCTTTCATACAGAAACCACACACACACACACACACACACACACACACGGAGCTGTGCATATACTCTACAGACGCTTTCCCAAAATGTTTGTGCATGGGGTGCTGCAGAGAGGGGGGGGGGGGGTATAAAAATAACTCCCCCGCCCCGTCTCGCTCCGCTGTGAGTCTTCATGCAGCAGAGACTTTAACAAACGCTACGCGTGGGACCGCGGTCCATTTTCTTTGCAGGCATCTGCTCGAGAGATGAAAGGACGGGACGAAAGGACAGAGGACAGCGAGCCAAAGCAACGGTGGTTGATGAGCCCGCCGAGGACAAACGGAACCAGTTTGTCCCCGTCGTTCAGGGGCATTAAAGCGCGGCAGGAGTAAGGGGGGAAAAAAGGGACCAAATCAATAATGGAAGCGGCGGATTGGCCTACATTCCTGCATATAAACTTAAACACGGCGTGAGTGTTTCACTGCACTTAGTTCAGCTCAACTTCATCTGCAATCTCGACAAACCGATGAGTCGACGGGCCGGAAGACGAAAAGCTACAGAGACAGAACAAGCGGTCGGGCTGCTGTTGGGCCTGTCAGAAGCTCAGTGCACCCCGTTTGTAGCAGTGAGCTGACAGACATCACCAAAGACGCGCATGGCGACACCAATAGAGACAGAGAGTTGAATCCCACTCCTCACTGTCTCAGACGGAGACATCGTTTCGCTGGAGGAAGACGCCATAAAGCACATAATCACGTGATGTAGCATCTGTAGCCTATCGGAGTGAAACGCCACAGCTGTCACTTTCTTTCCTGTGTTTCCTGCACTGGTCTCGTGACCGTTGAATCACGAACAGCGATCCCATCGCGCCCTTAGCGGGTTCCACGGGACGGTTAAAGGCGACAGATTGCTGCATTGTACTGTGGCCCCTTTGGCACTGTGAACTCCTCCTACATCGCCATCGACCTTTTAGCGCCACTGATCCCGATGTCCACACGGTAACGCAACGGCGCATGCGTGACGGATCTCAAACTCGGCAACTCAGCGCGACAAACCACGGTAACCGCAACCAATCAAAGGTCAACGCCGCGCCTCAAGCAGGGATCCCATATCCTCCTCTGGTTCACAATGTAGGCCCCCGCCGCCACCATTCATTCTACCGCCAATCCCTCGTTCCTGTTGCCTCTCTCCCTCTGAAGCTTTCAGCACGCTTTGCTAAATGCGACGCCTCCGTGTGCGTCTCTTTGTGGCTTCGCTGCGCCGCAATCAAGGCAAGGCAAGGCAATTTTATTTGTATAGCACTTTTCATACACAAGGCAGACTCAAAGTGCTTCACATCATAACATTTCATACAATAAAGTGAAATAAAATGCAGGAATTAAAAGACAATTAAAAACAGCAATCAGGGACTTGGGTTTCATGGCGCTGGTGAAAGGAAGTTGACAGCTGTGCGGTTGAAAGGCGAGGCGGGGCGGGGCACAGGAGCCGGATGTGAGTGGAGGAAACTAGGTTGCGTGAGGTGAGGGGTGGGAAAGTTCGCTACGTTCGTACCGCTCCGCTTTCCGTAATGCTGATATAACACTAGCGCCCGCGCCGAGGGGGACAGCGTACTCCAAGTCCGCACACCGAGAGAGAGACAGAGAGAGAGAGAGAGACGGACAGCCGGATCGAGGACGGGAACCGGCAGCGAGCAGAGCTCCTGTTATTTCCTGCCTTCGTCTTGAGATAGAACATCTCCCCTCTGTTCTGTTTCAAATCACGCTGCGCTTTCCGCATCTTGCGGCAACCCCGAGACGATCTGCGTTCGCGGCCAAAGTCCGTCGTTATCCTCCTCCTCACTTCTTCTCTACACTCCCACTCTCCTGCCCTCCTGCGCTGTGCTTGGCGGCGTCCTCCGTTTTTTACTACGCCTCCTCTACGTCCATTTGTACGTCCCTCTGCGGCCCGGCCGTGTGTCAACCACTCCTCCTGTCACTGTGGTCACTTTCCTCTCCATGTCGTCGTTCATATCCGTCGTACCGATTGTTCCTCCCTCGCCTGCTTTGGCGGCATTTCTGCTCCCCTCGCTCGCAATCTGTTGAGCCGCTCTCGTCGTCCAGTTTCATGCTGCAAGTATTTGGAGGAAAACGGGCAGCCGGCATGTCATTGCAATGTTGAATTGGAACATTTCAAAGACGGTTGACTTTGTACGTGCCTGTGAAATAAATATTCTTGACCCGGATAGAGTTATAAGATTCATGCAGTTATACAAAATGCTTCTTGACGCCTGGCATTACACGTGAATGAGGCGTGTTTGTCGGAGCGAGGGGTTTTGTGTGTGTGTGTGTGTGTGCGTGCGGTCCACGCAGATAGACGAAGGACTCAGGTTACCATATTAACTTCATTTGGCATCCACTTTGTGGCATAAAGCGGATGCCAAATGAGTTTGGGGATGTGATGCTGACATCATACCAACTTAATGAGGGTGTCAAATTTTGTTTGACTACAGGCAAACAAAGCACTGCGTTGCACAACACGCGCAAAACCATGAAGCTCACGTCATGCACATTAACCCACACACAAACACATGGACGCGACGTAGACTCAAAAAAGCAGGAGAGCGAGTGATGCGGAGGTCGTTTGAATAGACGTGTGTGTTAGACTGAGCGGGAATTCATTAACAACGAGAGGCGGGAGAGAGAAGAAAGAGCCAACAAGTTGCTGTGATCTACCTTCAAACACAGATGGCTGAGGTCAAAGGTCAGAGTGTGCTGGCATGAAAACGCTTGCTGTAAAATATGACTTCTTTTTTTCTATTGTGCTTTTTATTATTTTGAAAGCAGCTCAAAAGCAATAAAAAAAAAAACAATATAACTTCTAAAATCAGTGCAGCTACTTTCTCTCTCACACACCCACACACACACAAATACACACACACACAACAGTGTGAATGCGTTTCATATTGTTGAGTCCCTGAACTGAAGTACCAATGAAATACAATGTAGACAAGAAGTAAGGACAATGGATTGAAACATATGGTGGGTAGGTGTGTGTGTGTGTGTGTGTGTGTGTGTGTGTGTGTGTGTGTGTGTGTGTGCCTTTACATTTTCTTGAGATTTTACGGTCTTCAGTGTCAATGTTTCTTCTGTTTCGAACGACATTACCGGCATCGACATTTGTTCACCATGATGGTTCTACACGGGGGGGGGGGCGACTACTCGAGCTTCACTGAGGATTAACATCAACGCCCTTTTTTGGTACGTGAGACGTTTGTACGTATTTTGGTTTGTTATTTCGCAAGAAGCAGACGTACCTGGCAGCCTGTTGGCTGCGATCAAAGCGTGTGATCAGATGTGAGGTCCTGGGTTCAAATCCACAGCAGAGCAGCATTAGCATCGGCATCATATAATATTTATAGACACGTGGGTTACTGAAAAATAAATGACAATGGGGTTGCCAGGACTCATTGTAAACCAAAAACGCTAAATGTTGAATTTTAACAAGGATGAGGAGTAATACCATTGATACCTAGTTTAGTAAGATATTTTGATTTGATCAGCATAAACCTCAGCCTGGAACTCTACCGCTCGCTAGTTTTGGAGTCATCCTTAATGAGTGTTGGACTAGTGGTTTTGTACGTTTGATGGTGGTAAACAAAAGTCGGGCGATCGCTGAAGTCATTGGAATTCATTTCCGTTTCAAATATCATGGCGATTGCGATTTTGTCTTAAACGCTGCAGCGGGCCACCTGGTTTAGCTTTAGAAGTTGACTTGTCTCATCTATGTCTCATCTAACTGTATTCAGTTTGTCTCTTTATCTCCCATAGTTATGATTATGGTCAAGGAGTAAGTGGTAACAGTCACTCGCGTGCTCCCTGAATGTAAAATTAGGGGTGGTGGTAAACCCACTGATAGCTGCCTGCGGGGCGTCTAGCTGGCCATTTGGGTGCGAAGGAAAATCTTACAGGATTTTCGTGACCACGAGAATAGTAAGAGTGTGCATGAGCAGGGAAGTGTGTGTTGAACTGTGACGTCTCGAAGCACTCAGACTTCTGTTTGCTTGCTAACCTGCAGAGCGTCTCTTATATAACAAGCAAAGCGCTTCAGTACATTTGCAAAAAGACACAACTGAATTTCTATGAATGCTTCTGCACAGCCACACACACACAATAGTGTGATGCACGTCATATTACCGAGTCCCTTACCCTAAACTGAAGTACTTTACCAGTTATTGTCTTTAATGTGATGGCAGTTGGCAGACGTTCGCCCACATGCTCGGTATTTGCATTGTCTTACCTGGTCACACATGGTCTAGGTTCTGGGGGGGGCGGGGGTTCTGCAATTTGAAGTAGATCCTGCAATATTGCCAAACCCCCCACACACCCATCAGGGTGAGCAATCGCCGCAATTAAAGTATTTTGTACAGTTGGATTTTCCCCCGGTAACTCCAGTTGCAACAGAAATGACTGTCAGCTTGGACATTTTAAGCAGAACACAACACATATAAAGTCTGTTGTGTCTAAAATAAAACACGTGAGTGAATGCAAGTCGGAGGGGATCTTACACACGTGTCTCCACCCCACTGAGCCCAGCGACCCTGGTCCGTGGATGGACCCACACGCCCAGTCCAACGCCTCTAATCAAGACCCGGGCAACCATGTCTGGAGGGAGAGGTGCGTCCCCCCCCCTGTCTCACCCCCCGTCCCTGTCTCACCTGCTCCTTGGTTGCCAGCTCCTTCTCCAGCTGCCGGTGCTTGCCGTGCCACACCAAACAGTGGATGGGATAACGACTCTTCTCCGGAGTTCTCTTGGCGGAAATCATCCTCGGATCATAGTTTGCCTCCTCTTCTCTCTTCGCTGCGGGTCGCGGGGGAGACTCTGTCACCGATTCACGCTCGCACGGTCGAACACATCATCCCGTGTCGGCGGTGGAACCCTCCGGCGTATTTGGCCGCCTCCGCGCGTCAGAAACAGGGAAATACTCCGCGCACGCTCCGCTTAGAATAAACTGCAAAGCCCCGCGAGAAGCATTTCTTCATTTGCACCCACCCTTCGTGTCGGCTACACCTTTATTCCTTAACTACCCGTTCCTCCACCTATTGCCTGCCTCTCTCTCTCTCTCTCTCTCCCTCCCCTCGCGCGTCTCTCCTCCTCCTCCTCTCCTCCCATCCGGTGGGGACTGAGAAAAGATCCACTGGAAAGCCGCACTGAAATGTGCGCACACGCAGCCAATCCGCTGTCAAGAATGTTGTGATAAAAATGGATGCATCGTGACAAAAGTACCGCACGAATTATGCACAAAGTACTGGTGTAGTGTAGAGGGAGGAAAAGAATAGAATAGACAGATTCAGAATTAAAATGAAGCTATTTAAAGTGTAAATCAAGTCTAATTTCTACGGTTCCTAATGTGTTATGCATCAAACATTGCTTAGTTACAAGCTATATTTTAATTTAAAACTAAGCCACATTTATATAATGATTGTTTGTGCCCCATGTTGAGTTAAATGTGTCTTTTAAACTAGTTGTGTTGTTAAATGTATGACAGAATGGAATCCACAGTGATAACAGCAGGATTAATAATAATAACCACAATATCCACACAGGTGTTTAATGTAGTTCATTTTTTATCAAATCTATAAATAAGAAAAATGATTATTTTCACATAAGCACGTTCACATATGTGAATCTTTGCATTAAATTGTGTATTATTGTACTGATCCTTGAGGTTTTAATGAGGTCAAACCATCGAGCCTCAAGTAAACATAATGTATGTTGAGTTTGATCTCTCCTTGACCCCTAAAGGGTGGCAGCACGTTGCCCTCTCACCCGCCCCTGTCCCCGCCCCCCCGCAGGGAGGCTGCGGGGATGTCAGGGTGTGCGCGCGGAAACTGACCGGTAGAGAGCTGCCGTCTCTCGGTGAGTTGCGGGCAATGCAGCGAACGGATTTAGTCAAATATCCCCCGGCGAGGCTCATACAAGCGGCCGGATAAACCATGTTCGCGTAGCCCGGCTGCGGACTCGACTTCTTCGGGCAGTGGACGCGGGGACGCGGGGGGCGGCGAAGAGACCCGCTGGAGGAAAAACGGGAAATCCGACTGTCAGCTGGCCCGCTGGGGGAAAAGCGACCACACCGACCCGGCTTCCGGGGATTCGTTGGGCCGCGGCGTCGGTAGACAGCAGACGTCGTCCGGTTAGCTCCGGGAGGAGGAGGAGTAGGAGGATTGGGGGGGGGGAGAGAAAGGGCGAACGAGCACATCACCGCCGACCGTCCGTCCCTCGGATCCCAGCCGACTTTGGAGAATGTCGAGGAAGCTTCACAGGACGGAGGTCTGCGCCGACTGCAGCGCGCCAGGTAGGGGGGAGGAGGAGGCGGAGGTGGGGGGGAAGAAACGAAATGCATCCCAAATACACCGCCTCGCTCGGGGACAATGCGTCGGGGAGGGCGACGCGGTGGGACGACGTTAGCCGGACCCGCTGCCGCTGTCAGCGGGTCCGGGGAGCAGGAAAACGGCCGGTGCTCGGAAGCCTCGCTTAGGCCCGAAAATAAAAACAAGTGAAAAATAGGCGTGTTATCACAACGGGAAAAATAAAACCCTTGGCTAACGGCTGCTAGACGTTTAATTAAGCGGCTGTATGTGCACATTTATCAGAACAACAAAGCGTATGAGAGGAGAAGCAGTTATATTTCTGCTTCGGATCCGGGTGTCAGATTTGTGAGAGACGTTTGTTTTGATTTTTGTGACCCGGGGCAGACTTCTTCTCCCGTTAGCTTAGCCGTGCTAACCAGCAGGCGGCTGTGACTCACCGCGTTTCTATCTGTTATTAAACCCCTCCTTTTAGCGCGCGCACACACACACACACTGCGCTGGTATCACGCGTTGTGTTTTTTTAAAAACCTCCGCTTTAGTCCTCGCTGTTTTGCGACCGCGTAGCTGGCTAGCTTAGCTTCAATGTTAGCTAGTTCGGCTAACTTCGGCTAAACGGCTAAACAGTTCTCGCCAAGCGGAGTCAGCTAACGCGTCAGCGAGCGGCTTTAAAGGTATCGGATGTTATTAAATGCTGAGGGAATGCATGTGTACGTCACCTGTTACAGTAAAGCATCATACTACCTATAATGTGTATAGAATAGTTGAGCCCACCGCAATGGGCATTCTTTTTTTATTCTTTTGTATTTGTTTTTCCCGTTTATTCTCCTCTGTGTTTGTCAGAAAGTGAGGTAATGCTAAATCGACCTCGGTTTTCCCTCCCAGACCTTCACCCCTTGGCCTCACACGCCCTCACGTGTAGTTTAGAGCACTTGTGTGCTCACCTGTGTGTGTGTGTGTGTGTGTGTGTGTGTGTGTGTGTGTGTGTGTGTTGCATGCGTTCATCCTTCCATACATACATTGCAGCTGCTTCTCTGTGAGTGCAGAACTGTCAAAGCCTGAATGTGCTGCACCTTTCTAACCTGAACCCTTTTGCCTTTTACTATTTCCTTTACTGAGCCTCTTGCTGTACATCCTCCCCCCTCAATTGCATTTCCTACTCAGCAGTTCACAGCATGGTTAAGGTTTGTCAATAGGGACATGCGTGTGTTTTTTCCCCTGCTTGTTTACCTTGGCGTACCTGCTACAAGCTGTACATTTCTTCTAGCTCCTTCCATGTGTCCCCTTCTTACGACAACATGCGCCCACACACACACAGATGCGCAGTGGTCTCTGCAAAATGCTGACCTCGCCACCTCCCTACCACCCTGGCCTTGTGTCATGGGGATAACTCGACGGCGCGGCTACAAAGGACCACTGATGCTCCCGGTCCGGTCCGGGCCGCGGGAGGCTTTGATGTTCGAGCCGTGGCGACCTGCACAGTTTATAGCAACAATGAATCATGTTGTCGTGAGGGTGAATTCTTCACGGAGCACAGATGCAAGCGTACAGGAAGCCGCCATGAAAGCGTTTGGGGCAGCGTGGAATTCCTTTGTTACAGTGTTCAATTCACCATCATTTATTCTCACTCCTTGTAATCTATATGATTTTTACGCAGTGACGGTGATGAAAAGAAATGCAAATGTTTTACTGAGGAATTAGGCCAACTTTTGGGTTAAATTAAGTCATGCTGCAGATTTGGGTCTAATACCCTCACATTGATCCAGCGAGCCGAGCGGATAGCGTTGCCTGTGGAAGCTTTTTTGTTGTGAAGATTAAGGAATGAAATCGCTGCAGTCCATCATTTAAAACCTGCTTAGACCGTTCTTAACTCGGCTACAGCTCTTATCAAAGGCATTTTGCATCGCTGCTACTTTTCCTTGCGGGGGAAAAGACCCGCAGCACCTCAGCTCATCGGATGATGGACTTATTTTAGCTCCATTAATACCTTAAGCCCCCACAGTTTTATACCCGCCCGAGAGGCTAATACATATAGTAGATGCTTGTGAGTGTGAATGCATCATATGCACGTCTGCATTGCTTGCGATATTGCAGACCTTATGAGTTGTTTGCTTTTCATCACATCAGGGTCCTTGGGGCACAAACGGAATTCTGCCTCGATGACTCGTCCGCTAGTCGACTGGCATCGACCTCAGCTGCTTCCGCTTCCCGACCTCGTTCACGCTCGTCCGTTCCAACGCCGGCTTGAAATAAGTGCTGTTCCCACCCAGCGTTGTGCACATTGTAATATCACGCTGACCAGACTAAATCAAATACCAAATGTTGTTCTGGAAACTGCAGACTTTTTCACGAACTAATAACCTGTGAGGCACTGGTCTCCTACCAAGCTGCTTAAGACTGAACGGTTACGGTCTACTTGGTGGGTGTAAGCTCGTAGAAGTATGCACAGTTTAAGGATATTTCCCTTTTCACCAGCAATATATAAGATGGTAAAAATGGTCCTAGACTCTGACTCAACCTCGTTTGTGTCTGGCACAACTCTCAGGTGGATGAGTTTAAATAATTCTGGGTTCAATTGAGCCTCACACAGGTGAGCCCTTTAATCACAGCATGCGTCGGTTCATTAGTGAGTAACTATTCAGATCGTAATGGGCTAAAGGGAGCGACAGTATACGGCGCGTTAAATGGAACATTTGGTTCTATTTTAATCCTGGTACTTGACACTTCCACTTGACATCTTCACACTTTACCACAACACATGAAGGCTGTCTGATAATTCTGTGTTATTATGTATATGTTAATCAGGTCGAGATATTATTCTTGATGAATTTAATGTCTAAATACTTAATAGGTACAATCATCTAGATACTAAATAGATGATTGTAATTAAACAATTACTATTGTGATTGCATAGTTCATATTTCCCTTGCAGAGAGGAATATTTTATTACGTCTGTTAACACACTCGCTCTCTGATTAATCACAAAGGGGCATCTTTTCTGACGTGAACAGTCGCTGTGCTTTTAACTCCTCTTGTGCACACAATGGCACAATGTTGCCGAAGTGCCTCAGCATCACACCCAGCATGTTGTATGTAGCTGGTGACGGCATCGCTTTCTGCTTCCCTGTCAGACCCGGGATGGACCAGCATCAACCGAGGGGTCCTGATCTGTGACGAGTGCTGCTCAGTCCACCGCAGCTTGGGCCGCCACATCTCCATAGTCAAGCACCTGAGGCACAGCGGATGGCCTCCCGCGCTGCTGCAGGTACGCTCTGAGAAACGAGGCGGGGCAGGAAAGTGGGGGATTCAGCTGAAGCAAACGCGGTAGCCTGAGATCCAAACGCACTACAGATGACCAGCACATGAATCTGACTCGGCAAACCCTTTCCCACAGGTCTTCCCATCTGCTGCTCTTTTTTTCTATTTTTATGCATATTCATTTGCCCTGCTGCATGTGGGTTTCAGATGGTTCAGACCCTGGCCAGCAACGGGGCCAACTCCATATGGGAACACAGTCTCCTGGACCCTGCTCAGGTACAGAGCGGTCGAAGGAAACCCAACCCCCAGGACAAAGTCCAGTGAGTATGCTCCCTTCAGCCTCAACACACACAGACACACACACACACACACACAACCAAACTATCAGCCTCTTGCTGTGGGAAGCGATTGTCCTGCTGCACAGGAATGTCGGATAACCTTTGACTGGTCCGGAGGTGTTTCTCGTAGTGATGTCGCACCTCCTCGGTGAATAGTGTTCTGCTCTCTGGGTTTTTGTGTATCTAAAAGCCAGAGAGGGTTCGCTGTTGTCCGTTCGCGGTGCTTCGTCTTGGGTGGAAATGTGGGAGTGGCGTAAGATCAGGAGTTGGACCGGCACGACATCTAGTTCTTTTCACTCAATGTGTCATAAATGGGTGGGAGCACATTCTTTCAAAGCTCTTAAATGTACAGTCTTGTTACAGTGTTGTGTAACTGTCGTTGTAAAAGAAGCAGGAAACCAGTAGTAACAGTGAGTTGTGGCTCATTCAGTAAGATGTGTAGGAACTTCATTCGGGCTGAGAAAGCCCACTCTCTAGTTCTCGTGTGGCCTAGTTCTTAAGCCGTAATATCTTATTTATGTGTGGGATTTTCATCTTAGAGGAATAATCAAACGAGAAGGAGATGAAGGGAACCGGACGTTTTAACTGCTTTTCAGTCACAGAAACTAAACACCGATTAGTGCACCTGCAGAGGCCCCACATCTCAGAGGGGCGGTGGTAGCTGGTAGTCCCCGGTTCCGGTTGCCCCCCCTGGGTGCTGTCGAGGTGCCCAATAATGCATGATTGTGCGTTTTAGTGGTTTATTTTCAGCCTTGGTGTGAAACACTTGTCCTTTTCCTGCTTCACCGTCTTCCCCCTCCACTGTGGACCAGTCCCACCAAGTCCGAGTTCATCAGAGCCAAATACCAGATGCTGGCCTTTGTGCACAAGCTGCCCTGCCGCGACGATGATGGCGTCACCACCAAGGACCTCAGTAAGGTGAGGGCTCAGGACTCCCACGCACTCGGCCGCATTGCCGTTCTGCGTGGGTAAGCACGAATGCTGTTTTATTTAAAGACGTCAGTGGGAGGCCTCGCATCTGAAATAAGAAAAAACGCGCATGTTCGCACACGCACACTCATGCACACTGCGCCCACGGCAGGAAGCGGTCTCAATGACACAGCAGGATGTAACGATGAGCCGCATAGTGCTAATGAGGGGACTCTGCCTGCTGCTGTCTCTTCATGACGTCTGGTCTTCCTCCCCTCTCCTCCTCCTCCTCCTCCTCCTCCTCTTCATCAGCAACTACACTCGAGTGTGCGGACGGGGAGTTTGGAGACGTGTCTTCGGCTCCTGTCCCTCGGCGCTCAGGCCAACTTCTTCCACCCGGTCAGGAGATTAAAAAAAAATAAAAAATCTACCCGCCGACTCGCTTCATTAAGAAACTGTCCGCGCTGTCTCTTGTGCTGACTCCGTTTCGGCGTCTGCCTGCAGGAGAAGGGCACCACGCCGCTCCACGTGGCCGCCAAGGCGGGGCAGATCCTGCAGGCCGAGCTGCTGGTGGTGTACGGCGCCGACCCCGGAGCGCCCGACATCAACGGACGCACCCCGATGGACTACGCGAGGTACAGAGCCGGCGGAAACCGGCTCCCGGTGTGCGTCTATGAGCGGTGGGGGGTAAAAAAAAGGCTGACGGCGCTCTGTGTTCTGTGTTCCAGGCAGGCCGGCCACGTGGAGCTAGCGGAGCGGCTGGTCGAGTGTCAGTACGAGCTCACGGACAGGCTCGCCTTCTACCTTTGTGGGCGGCGTCCAGGTAACCCACCGCGCCGTGGCCGGGCGCGGCGTGCATCTCCGGTGACCTTGGTGACATTTGCGGTAGCTTTTACCCCGTTGTTCAGTCTCCTCTCCTCTCCCTTTCCCTCCCCCTCCCCTCAGATCACAAGAATGGCCATTATATCATTCCTCAAATGGCGGACAGGTATGCACCGTGACCCTTCTTCTTCTCTTTTTTTTTTTTGGAATGAAGTGCTTGTGAGTCCCTTGTGTTTGCATGCTTGCTGTGGTTTGATTGCATGAAGTGTCTTTGTGAGTATACTTGCACTTTGTAGCTCCCTGACTTCCATACTTACTTTTCTAACCTGCGTGGATCACTTGGTGCTGGTGCAGTTTACTGTTCTGACCACAGGGGGGCGCCGCGGTGCACGTAGCTATCACAGGTAGCTATCACAGGTAGCCGCGGTGACTTCGATACTTTAGGTTCAGTTGCTCCTCAGCTCCTGCAGCCACGTCTTCCTTCAAATATTTGATGCGTGCTCGGGTTTCCTCGGCTGAGTCAGAGAAGGAGTATCCGCGTACGTAAATGTTACTCAGCGGCGGCCATGCAACGCGGGTTCCGTTTGTGCCGTCGGGGGCCCGCCGTCTAACGCCACGTGCATCTGTTGTGTTCCGCTGAAGGGTTTCCTCGTGGTAATAACGACGGGAGCCCTTCACTGATGTGGCCTCTCCGGCCCCTCGTTCTCTCTGTTTCCTCCCTTTTCTCACTCGTCTTCTGTTCTCTCCATTTCGCTGCGCTTGGTGGAGCCAGAGCTCGTCCTAAGTGCCCAACACAGAGGTATCTTTACTTTCCTTGTTCCCCCCCACACCCACCCCCCACCCCTTAAGCTCGTCACTATCGTCTAAACAGTGAATTTATATGCATGTATTCACTGTTCAGACTAGCGTGGGTCCACGTAAACATCAATAATCCCAGATGCCCTTTGTCCCCGGGGGCGGGGGGAGGGGCGCGCAGAGAGCCGCTGTCGGATGCAGACGCCTCTGAATGTCGGGTCACCTTTCGATCAGGCGCCCGAGGCGTCCCACCCGAAATGTGTCCTCCCTGTCCCCCATCCCCTCACCTCTCCTCTCTGCATACCTCTCCCTCCGTCTCTTTACTCCACCGCCGCGTCGTGGCCGCTGGCTGACTCTGGTTCTGTGTCTTTTTAGTCTGGACCTCTCAGAGCTGGCCAAGGCGGCCAAGAAGAAGCTCCAAGCGGTGAGTTGGATTGTGGCGTATTGAGCAATTTGTGGAGGGTTCTTAATTATTAAATGGAGAGAAATTTGTTAAAGTTTCTTGGTGTATCAGCCAGATTTGATGTTACAGGCCATCTGTTCAGCAAGCGCCGAGCTGATGGTCGATTATCAAGATTTAAAGTACTGAAAGTTCTCACAAATCATGGAACAGAAGTTCTATCATAAATAAGATGAGATTGAACTTTATTAAATTATTGTGCCACATTTTGATCGAAGCAAACCAAAACAATATTGTTAGAACAACACTTATTGAGTGTCAAAGAACTATTTCTGACACCTGTGCAAAATACAATAGTGAAACAGAAAAAAGGAAATTGCACAATTCAGACTTCAGATGAATATTGAGCATATTTCTAGTCGCTCTTGTCTTTCACACTGTCGCCTGCAGCCCTGATGTATCCGCATGTAGAAAGTCACCTGTTAACATATAGCAATATAACACGGCTCATTCTGTGTGTGTGTGACAGCTCAACAACCGGCTGTTTGAGGAGCTCGCGATGGACGTCTACGACGAGGTGGACCGCAGAGAAAACGATGCAGGTGAGCCCCTCCCCCATGAAGTACCTGAGGTACCACACTGAAGTATGAAGTATGAGCACCTTTCCCTTTTATGGAGACCAGACATAGAAAACGTCCCCAGCACGACATCATTGAAACGAGCTTTAAGAAGAAACGAGGAAGAGAAAGTAGATGTTGAGAGAACGGGGAGTTAATCTGAAGGACCCGGCGGGGAGGAAAGAACAGTGGAAGGAGAGCGAGGGAGGAAGAGAGCAGAGCGAGGAAGGGCCTCAGAAATTCTTGAGTCACTCTCCTCCTCCTCGGCTCGTTCTTCCCCCTCCTTTTCCTCAGTAGCAGTCAAATGTGTGCTTTCTGACAGAAGCTCAGTAGGTAAGTGACAGACACACACATACTAGGGGAGGGCTCAAAGCCCCACGGAGGCTTATAGGGGCCGGCTTCATGATCTATTGTTTGATTTTTACTGAGCGTGTGGCTGGGCGGAGCGTTCCTCTGTCAAACACTCACAGACTTCATTTTCTGCTTCGTATTTGTGTCTCCAGTGTGGCTCACGACCCAGAACCACAGCACGCTGGTGACGGAGCGCAGCGCGGTGCCTTTCCTTCCAGTCAACCCCGAGTACTCTGCCACGCGCAACCAGGTAACCGTGCACGAAGCGATCACACCGAGCCATCCCCGGGGCGGCGTGCATGTACTCGTCTGGGTTTTAGATGTATGTTTTACTCGTGCACGGGGGGGGGGAACAGACGAAAAACAATCCCTCACATTCAGAGTTGTACTTTTCAGCTCCTTTTGTCTCCCCGAGTGATATTTTCTGTATTTCAAGTTCCAACACTTTCATTCAAAAGCTTTTTCTTTTTGTTCCCTCATACGCACGCACGCTTTCCTCCCCCAGTGTTTGTGTACGCGTGAGCGCGCTTGTGATGGCGCGTGTGTGTGTGCGCGCGCGACGGGGGAAGTATGACTGCGTTTTTCCACAGCGCGCGGCCGTTGACCACAGCAGCCCCTCGGGCAGCGGACCAGCCAGTGGGCTGGATTCTGCATCCCACGCGGCGGGACGGCTTCCAGCGCGTTCGCGCCCGCCAGCCCGGCTTCTGACTCGTGACTCGTTTGCGCCCGCAGGGCCGCCAGAAGCTGGCTCGCTTCAACGCCCGGGAGTTCGACACGCTCATCATCGACATCCTGAGCGACGCCAAAAGGAGGCAGCAGGGGAAAGGGACTCAGCAGCCCTATTGGTGAGACGCCGATTAGCATGAAGCTGAAGCTCGTTGCTAATGTAGATGGATACAATGTGGAGCTTCGGAGGCTGAAACAACTCAGTGAACCTACTGACCGACGAGTAAAAGGAAGGTTTCTGTAGGAGATCAGACATTTTAAGTTCCCTCGTTAGTGTGAAACCAGCGCGGAAGCCCAAAATGAGCCAGCCGCTGCTATCAGTCTGAGCCTGAAAATGAGTTTGCTCCTTCAGACACTCTGGATCTGGGCATCGATGACGACCAGCACGACTACGACAGCGTAGCGTCCGACGAAGACACCGACAGCGAGCTGACCGCCCAGAACAACAACAACACGCAACGCAGCAACCGGGCAAAGGTACACACACACACACACACACACACACACCTCATTGTAGAAACCACCCAGCTCTGCTCAGGCCGACGGCATTCAGTCAAGCAAAGATATTCAATGGCTCCCTCTTTCCTGACTGCTTGTCCCAGCATGCTTTGCGGGGAGTGGCCACAGTCAGGGCTGCCACATCGCTCGCGAGTGACATCATGTGCTTGTCAGAGAGCCATTGTTCATACACACAGAGAGAGAGAGAGAGAGGGAGGAGAGGAGAAGGACGGATCCAGGGAGAGAAAAGGAGGGCGAAAGTGGTGCAGGGTGGGAGGGGTAGAAATGACGACGCAGACAACAGACCAGTAACTTTCTCCTTTTCCTGTGGACTTGTTTGCCTCGTGGGGCAGAACCCTGACCGCGGCGTTCCACTCCCATCTGGCTATGTCGTGCGCGTCATCCAATGCGGCTGCATGCGGTTACGCGTCGCGTTCTCCACAGCAGACGTGGGTCCGGGGGGGGGGATGAGGCGATGGAAGACGCTTCACGCGGCCTTTGAGGGAGCGGCGTAGACGCGTGTTTGAGCGCGCTCCAGGGTCACAGGAGGTGGGACCAGATGGTGCTCTGAGAGCGAGGACTGAGGCGCCACTGTCCGGGGAGAGGGGGGGGGGTGTGAGATCAGCTGCAGGCAGCATGCCAGCCCTCTTCCTCTCACCCTCACAAGAAACTAATTCATTCTTCCCGATCCGTCCTCCTGGGACCTCTGCAGAAAGGCTGCATATATTACAGTTACAAACCGATTTTGTTTGTTAAAAGCACCGAAGAGACGTGCTAGTTTTTACTCTCAGTGTCCGCTTCCTGTCTGTCCTATCCATCCAGAGTATGGACTCGTCGGACCTGTCGGACGGCCCCATCACCCTGCAGGAGTACCTGGAGGTGAAGAAGGCTCTGGCCTCCTCCGAAGCCAAGGTGCAGCAGCTGATGAAGGTCAACAACAACCTGAGCGAGGAGCTCCGGCGGCTCCAGAAGGAGGTAGGGCGGGAGGAGGGGAGGAGGAAAGGACGGACACGCGGGTTCAGACCAGAAGAACGGGTTGATTCTTTCTTAGAAAGGTGGACGAGGTCCGTTCTGCCATCTGCACTGACGAGAACACCAGGGTCACGAGACAAGCTGTCAAAGGGAGAAGGGAGGATTCAGACAGAAGGAGGGCACCACGATGGAGGGGCGTGAACATGTTTTAATATCTTTGCGAGCTGATTTATTTTCCCGACGCTCTTGTCCCGATGTCTCTGGAATGCGTCCACGTCTTCTCGGTTGTGATTTAGTAACTAAAGCAGATGTCCGTCTAAATACAGTCTCAGACAGACAGTTTTCACTTCATCGCGCTCATTTGCGGTGGCTTCATCTCTGTCCCGCGCGACTCCTCATCGTTAGTTGCTTGTACTCATTAGTGGATTCATGCGTCGGCTTAAATGACTCATTCACGAGTGTGTGTATTTCTGGATGTTGATTTGATGAGTTAGTGATGCTTTGAACTTGTAAGCACACACTTATGCAAATATTCTAGTTAACGTACTTCAGTGCAGATGAGTCCTCATGTAGATGTATAACTAAACACACACACACACATCTATATACACATGTTTATGTTTTCCTACCATCCCATCCCCTAACTGCAACCTATTTACTGCATATTCCCTCCCTCCCCAGTACTGCTGTGAGTTAACATGTCTCAGCTTGTGTGAGCTTTTTACTGTACCTGTGATTTTGGATGCTTGCCTTTGACCATTCAGTTGACCCCCTCCAACCTCCCCGTGTCCCTCCCTCCCTCCCTCCATCCTCTCATTCCTCCCCGCTCCCCTTCCTCCTCTCCTGTAGATCACGCGGATGCAGACAGAGAACAGTGCGCTGCGGGGGGGCCAGCAGGCTGGGGGGCCAGCTGGCCATGGGGTAGGGGGACCCGGCGGCGGAGGAGGGGGCGGCGGCCACTGGCATGGGGGCGGGATGAGGGGAGGAGTAGGCGCAGGGGGCATGGGTGGGTTCGGGACAGGAGCGGACCCCCCAGGGCTGTCGGTGCCCTCCTCTGCCGTCCCCAACTCCCACCCCCACCGGAGGGACCGCCAGGCCTTCTCCATGTACGAGCCGGGTGCGGCCCCCGGCCCCACGGCCCATGGTCTCCCAGTCCTGGACTCCCTGGCAGCCCGCCTGCAGCCCCTCAACACACCCAGCGTAAGTTAGAACCCCCCCCCCGGACCCCCCTCGCTACTTCCCACCTTCCTTTCGGTGGCCACGATTGGCTCTCTTTGGCCTGATTGATGGGTGACGGTCCAATCCAGATCTCTCCAGATTGTCCCTCCCTGCATCTCCGTTCCCCATCTTTTTTTTCAAAAGGCCCAGTTGTGCTTAGACTTCAGATTTAAATGTAAAATGAGTCCCAGAACAATAAGGGGGGGGGGGGGCAGTGCACAACTGTGGCGTTCAGGGGAAAGATGTTCAAAAATGTGGATTCTGATCGGTTGCCCCGGGTTTCGCCTCCGTCCTCTGGTCTGCTCACTGCCCTTTAATCTTTACCTTCTCGACCCTTCTTCACCTCCCCGTCAGCGCCGCTGCTTCTGGACCAGCGCTTAATTTACTTACGCTTTGCTATGATTCCACACACACACACACACACACACACAGTCTCAAAGGGAAGGAGATGTTACAGCATTCAGCAGCATGTACCTAACAGTTTAGCCACAGTGTGCAGACCACCCACCACATCTGTCGAGCACTCTAGGGAGACCCCGCCCCTCCCGTCTCCGTGCACAAAGATTTACCTGTTTGTCTGTCTCCTTTCTGTCTGTCTGTCTCTTCACCCGTCCGTCCCTCGCTCACTGCAGTGCAGCCGTGCATCCTCTGGATGTAAGCATTCAATCCGTCACCGCATCGTTTGCCATTTCATCCTCCAATAGCGTAACGGGAGCCGCCCACATGCCACAGCGCACCACTGCTGCTTGTTATGCATTATCATAACGGAGATCAACGTGTGTGTGTGTGTGCGTGTAGTCCAGTGTCGAGTAGACGTGCAGCCCTTCATCAGCGGCTCGTCTAGCTGCGTGTGCTTTGTATGTCAGATAGCGATAGAGGCATGTGGCACCGAGGGGATGAGGGGTGAGCTGTCGAGTTGATCTGCCGCCGCTCTCACCGGCTCATTCATCTTGTTTCTCTGCTGTTTATAAACGCATCACTTCTCTCCTGCCCCCCCCCCCCCCCTTTGTCATAGAGTTGCCTTTATAACAAGACATGCTTCTTCCTTATATTTAGCTGACAGTTTCTCTTGTACAACTTCTTTGGACGGGTGACTCGTCGTTTGCGTGTGTGTTGGTTAACCCATAGCATTAGCATTAGCATTTCATTTCTCCTGCACTGCTGTCTTGTCTATTGTTATACGGTCTACTGTCACGCACCAACCGCCAAGTCAAATTCCATGTATGACATATTTTGGCAATAAATGTTTCCTGGTTAAGAGAACAAGTGACACGACCAAACGGACCCCTGCGGGTTCCCGCCGGCGCCGCAGCCGCTGAACTCGCTTTCACACGAAACGTTAACACAAGACAAAGTGTTTGGGTCCAAAACAAACACGCCGCACGCACAGAGGGAGCCCCGGGCGTGACGGCTCTCTGCCGCGCCCACACTCACACACGGCAAGTTACAAAACCACTGCAACCAATGCACTTGTGCGCTCACCAAACCGGCCGAAATGTAGAATCCACAAAAAGTGGCGCTTTACTTGCAGCGTTGGGAAGTTGAGGGAAACCACACAGGTCGCCCGGCGGAACCCACGACATCCTATCAGTGTGGCGGAGGCGCTCTGGGGTTGTGCATCCAGAAAACGCCAAGCCGAAAAACTCACAGTAACAACGCCGGCACGGGGCCAAGACGCAGATAACCAGGACCGCCTCCTCAACGCCAGCGTCACACAACAGTCCTCCTGCCGCCCCGATCTCACCCTGAAGCGC